ATTGTCTTTCTTTCCCTGTTCTTTTATTTATCTCCCTTCTTTCTCCTAAGTTCTTCTGTCCTTTATCTCCATTCTTGTTCTACCCTGCAATGTCCTTCCCTTTACTTTTGTTTTGGTAAACTTGTCTTCCCCATCCTTTCCTGTCTTTTTGTTTACTCTACTTCCCTCTCCATGTCCTAATTTTTCTTTTCTTCTTTTCTCCTTCTGCATTTTACACCCTGGCCTTCAGTGCTGTATTACTTCAATTAAATCACCCCCTGATAACCGCATTATGATGTCACAGCTATATGTTGTTATTATCATTTCATGTGATATCCTCTTAGTCATAATGACAATGTAACATAGACAAGTGAAATAACATGATGGCTAAACACCTATGAGGGCTACAAATACACTTCCTGCCCATACACACTTACTGCCCATACATAAAATTAAATGTAGAAACCATCAAGGACCTGTCACTATTTACTTTAAGACCGGATGCTGTGTCACACACAAGCATCACATACAGCTGAAATCTATTTCCTTACCAACGTTGTGAAGCTAGCTAGTTTCACAAATATTAGCCTGGCTCAATCAAGCCGCTCAATCAAGCCGCACTAAATTCTGACGTTCTCGGCAAGACAAGCTAGGAGGCTCTGGCATGTCAAAGAATACACCCAATTTCTTGTTCTGTCTCTCCTCCAGGCTGGAGGGAAGCGCTACCACCCCAGCTGTGCTACGTGTGCCCGCTGCCACATGATGTTCCTTGAAGGAGAGGAAATGTACCTTACAGGTGAGGAGACAAGATAATAGGAGAGCCAAAAAAATAGCACAAATCAGTAAGAACAAAAGAAATGTACAAGGCTACACTAAGGTGCTTCTGCAACTGTACAGCTAACAGGCATGAAAATAGACCTAGAGCATGTATTGAGTTAGCTGAACCCTGCAAGTGGCCTAAGTGTGTGTGTTGATGAATGACACATAGGTTATATAGGTTATTGATCTCACATATAACACTCAGTGAACACACACAAACTTAACACTCACTCACCTTCCCCTTGTGGAAGTTTCCTTCATAAACACAAAGGTCTGAGTCAATTACCTCTCAACCTTCTCCTCTACTATTTCCATCATTCTGTCCACCCCTGAAAGCATTAATCTGAATGAAACCGACATCAGCGGAGGTCTAAATTGAATCATCTTGTTGTTTCTGTTTTTCAAATTAGAATGAAAAAAATTGTTTTGCCATCCGTGTATCTCAGTGTTTAAACGGATGAAACAAATGTCATAATAATACTCTGCAGCTACGAAGCAATTGTATTTTCAAGTACATTTTTGGAGGACGTGCACCACCGTGTCGGAGAAAATGTTTGTGATGAACTACATGTTATTTGCAACACTGTGATAAACAGAGAACATTGTTTACTAATACAAAAAAAGAGGTGTTAAGACTTCAGTGTTTGTCCTCTGAGATTTACAGCATACAGGCAGGCAGACAGGAAGGTGGATTTAAAATTCTTAACTGACTTTGATCCAAATCAAACCTTAGCTATAGTTCGATTGCTTTTATACTGAAGCAATAACTACATAAAACTGTTGGGTGTGATGATTTTGTAGCACGAGTTGCACATGCCGCGTCATATGCCGGTCTGGTCCACTCATGTGCCGCGGCATATGCCGCACATAAGTGGCATGTGCCATGGCATATGTGCGGCTGGTCCACTCATGTGCCGTGGCATATGCCGCACATAAGTGGCATGTGCCATGGCATATGTGCGGCTGGTCCACTCATGTGCCGCGGCATATGCCGCACATAAGTGGCATGTGCCATGGCATATGTGCGGCTGGTCCACTCATGTGCCGTGGCATATGCCCCATGTTAGTGGCATGTAAAGATAAAGATAAAGATAAACTTTATTGATCCCCCATTGGGGGAAATTTCTGTGTGCCGCGGCATATGCTGGTCTGGTCCACTCGTGCTGCGACATTACGCATATGAGTGGCGTTTGTGCATAAAAGTAAATTTTTGGAGGACGTGCACCACCGTGTCTGAGAAAATGTTTGTAATGAACTACATGTTAATTCGCAACACTGTGATAAACAGAGAACATTGTTTAACAATACAAAAAAAAGGTAGGTTAACCGCAGTACCCTGAGTGACGTTTGGTGGCGCTGTGGAGCCGTCGGCGACGCCCATGCACCGAACCACTTTCATACGTAAATTTCACACAAGGCAGAATTTTGTGTGAAGTTTGGTGAGTTTTTGTGCACGTTAAAGCCCCCAAATAAGCGATTTATTGTGGCGAGGGAGAATAATAATTCCTTCAGTTTCAATAGGGTCCTCGCTTCGAGGTCGGTGCTTGGGCCCTAAATATTAAACAAACAGCCAAAAAAGAAGAATTTCCTCGTAACCATGACATCAATGCAAATGAGTTGGATATAAACACTGTGGGAACATTAGATTCCTTCAGTTCATAACTGCACAGATGTTTCTTTAAGATGAAGCTGTAATAGAAAAAAAAAAAAAAAATCAAATAGCTCACCAAAGAATGAGTGCAAACAGCACTCTAGTTATAAACAGACCCTTTGTGGTACACAGATAATTTAGCCGGGTTGTGTTGAATCGAGATTAAGTGTTGAGCTACTGAAGCGTAACATGTGGCTGACTCAAAGCGTCCCAGAGTCACTACACAAGTTGTTACCTCCTGCTTCACCTCATTGACATTCTGCTGCTCGCTCACTGACATCGAACAGTAAAACAAGCATTTGCATATTTTACCTGAAGTCTGTGTATGTGTATGTGTGTGTGTGTGTTTTAATCTACGCCAGTAAAAGCATGCATTCTCAATGTTTGCAGGTATATCTGCTTGAATGCATGTTTGCACACTGAGTCTACATATGAATGCAAGTGTGTGTGTCTGCTGAGCTCCATCAAGCTGCCCCAAGGTTACATTCGCTCCTTTTGATGACTTCAGACATGTAGGAGGGCTGAGCAATCACCCTTGTGAGACACACTCAATTACAACACGCACGCGCGCACACACACACACACACACACAAGTTAACACACCTGCTATCAATCTCATGATGCATGCTTGGAATAAGAAATGGTGTGTGTGTGTGTGTGTGTGTGTGTGTGTGTGTGTGTGTGTGTGTGTGTGTGTGGGTGTGTCTGGGTGCGTGTGTGTGTGTGTGTTAGAGAAGTTTTAAAAGTACTAATTGAGAATCTCAGAATCAGATGGTTGGATAGATTGATGGAAATAGTAAGTTAGGATTTCCCCTTTTCTAATTATTTTGCATTTTCAAACTTTTGAAAACCTTTAGTGAGGTGTAACTTCGCCTTCAGTTCTCTTTATTTCAAAAATGTAACACCTCAACTGTATTTGACAGGATGGTGAATCATCTGTTTTTTTTCCTTACTGCCCTTAAAACATGTAAGATAATGAGCTAGAGCCAAACCTGATGTGCTCTACGTCCATAACGTTTATGTGAATAGATATAAAACAAGGGAAACAAAAACAGGATAACACCAACAAACATGTTTAAGTGAAAACATAATTCAGAGCTTGTTGTTATCGTTTAACTTTCTTTTGAACAAGTAATGGATTAATGAACTATAGCCAGAATGTTTCATGTGTTGACAAATTTGATCAAAAGAACCATAACGAGAGAAGAACCAGTGCTAACGGTCAATTATACGTTTAAGGCTGAAAACTCACTGAATCGATCCTCACTTGTCTTATTAGAGTATTCAAATGGAGGATTCTTTCTCTACTTTAATACAGTGTTACTGTTTGGTCTAATCGGCAGCACAAAAAATGTAGTGCCAAAGAAAACGTAGAAATTATGTTGTTTTTTCGTCATCAGATACCTTGCCTTTTAGAAAAATATCTTCACCCGTTATTAGAAGATTACACCCCGTATTCATTTATTCATGTATTCAGTAGTTGTGGCTGGTGCATTGTTCTGTAGTGTGGGCAATTTATTACAGATGGACTTGGATGTATATCTTAGTTCTTTAGCTAAGATATACATCTTGTGCTAACTCATACTGGAAAATGCCATTAACTGGCTAACAGAATTTGCATCACGATAATTTTAACTAATTTTAACAACACCATATCCACTCGTAATTACGGGCATATTTACCCTATCCTCTGTTGAAACAAACTTTAAAAACTGCTGACTCATGCTAGTCTGTTCTGCTGCTCCCACTCATCTACAAAATATAAGCAGTCAATGCTCTGATCCAGTGACACTGCATGACTTGCTCTTTATGTCTCAGTTCAAGGGACATCTCCCTCTGCTGTGTGCTTTTGGGTGTTGGTGTGTTTTTTCCTGTGCTCAATTGAAGCTCCTGTCTCTTGAACTGAAGAGGAGCATATGGGCATGTGCAACTTGTAACGCGAGTCAATGGAGGCCCGGAGCACCAGATTGTGGCCGGAAACAATCACCAATCAGTAACCTGAGACACGTAAAACTCAATAACTACATCAAAGTACAGTGTGTTTGTCCCTTAAAATCATTCAGTGAAGGTCTGCCATTCTCCTTTAAGGGAGCGATTGGGTGGCACCCTAGTGCCCTCTGATGACCAGCCGTGACTGGTAATGCTTTTCCACATTTTTCGTACTTCCTCGATTAAGTTAAAAAAGGAATGTCGCCATGAATTGAAAAATCTTACTAAATATCTGAATGGGACTGTTTGCCTGACCTGTGTGCTGTTTTGTTTTTTTGGCAGCATGATTCAGTTATGCTGCCTAGCAATGCTTGCAATGCTTTAGAGCTTTGTATTTTTAAATGATATTTGCACAAGCGTCAATGTTGCTTTTCTAGATTTCACTGGCCACTTTCATCCCACATTTTGAATTTTGCTAGTCAAGAGAAAGAGGCAAATATTTGTCCACTGATAAACCTACCTTTACATAAAGTTATTGAAAGAGGAAAACAAAGTGTGCAGTGTAGGACCTATTCCTCAATGAAAGGACAGGGGGGGGACTCATTCAGATTTTTTATTTTGTGACTCATTTCTAGCAGCTCATTTTCTTTGAACTAATAGTCTGTGTTTTGGATTGAATTGCGTTGTTTCAGCACCATTTAGATTCTCCTCACCAGGAGATAAAGGACCCAGAGTCCAAGGCCATACATCTGTTCAGCAGCAGAACTGGGGAGCGTGGGTGGGACGGGGGTGCACTGAATCACTACGCATGCTTCCTGTCTACTGTATTGATTTTGTGTGGTGTGTGTGTGGTTGTGGTTGTGTGTTGTTGCGTGTGTGTATGTCCATTTCCCAGTGCCTCTGTGTGGCTTTACTTCTGTGTGTGTTAGTGTGTGTGTGTGTGCGTGTGTGTGCGTGTGAAGGTCAGATTTATGGTGTTGATATACAGTTGGTTGTATATTACAGTCATGATCAGCTAACTGAGTCAGTTCCGTTGACCTGTGATGCCCAGAGGCCAGAGAAAATGAGTGTGTGTGTGTGTGTGTGTGTGTGTGTGTGTGTGTGTGTGTGTTCAGAGCAGAAATATTACTGTAATTATGGATATTAGATCTACATTTATGGGACATCCTGGCATTAGTGGTTTATTGTTATGAATTGTCTGTCCTCTTTTGCTCCACGGCAAAATGTTCTCTCCAGCTTTTTCATTTCTCTCTCTTCTCAGCTGTCTGTATCGTCCCTCCTTTGACCCCTCTTCATCAAACTTGTTTTTTTGTTTATTTCAGGTCAACTTTTTTATTCTAGCCCCCTGGATTAGCCTGGATGTTAAGACAAATATCATTTATATTACAAGAAATGCATCTTAATAACTACAGTACATACCCTTTCTTCGATTTTAGTTAGTTTTATCTAAAAGTAAACTTTACTTTAAGTATTGATCCCAATAATCCTGAGGGGGACTAAGAATTTGTGTGCCACATTTCTTTTCAATCTATACTATAGCTGTTCAGACACTATTAAACTACAGTTAACAATTCTCTGAGGACCATGTATGTCCATAACAAGCCAGATTATATAAATGTTTTAGACATTTATGTGTGGATCAAAGTGGTGGGTCTACCGGCTCAGCCATCCCTCATGACACATCATCTAATAATACCCCATCTCCCTCTGTCTCCCTTCTCTCTGTGTCTCCCTCTCTGTTTATCTGTGTGTTGAGACAAGACTAACATCCTCTGTCCTCAGACCAGACAAACTGCCTCCACAGCCACATGCCCAGCCTTGTGTGTGTGTGTGCGTGTGTGTGTGTGTGTGTGTGTGTGTGTGTGTGTATTTGTTGAGCGTGTCTTGTTGATTGATGTTGATGCACTTGAAAAAGGCTGATCTATTCTTCATAGGATCCCATAAAACTGTACGGCTGCTGCTCAAACACAGTAAACACTGAGCTCTGTTTGTATGTGTGTGTGTGTGTGTGTGTGTGTGTGTGTGTGTGTGTGTGTGTGTGTGTGTGTGTGGTGTGTGTGTGTGTGTGTGTGTGTGTGTGTGTGCAGGTTCAGAGGTCTGGCACCCCATGTGTAAAGAAGCAGCTCGGCTGGAGAGGAAACTGAGGGTGAGCGTTACTCAAAATACCCACAACCACTTTTTCTTTCTCTCTATGCCTTTATCTATTTTTTGTTTCTGTTCTCTTTGTGTTTCTCTGAATCTCTTTGTGTCTACAATTTTTCACAGTCGGTTTAAAAGCTCATTGTTCTTCTATTCTTAACAAATAACTTACACAGACTGAAGTAGCGTTCTTTTGAAGAAATATCAATCCTAATCATTTTTTACTCTTCTTTCCCTTAGCAGAGAACTCTCAATTAAAGAGAGACATCTATCTTTATCAAAAGAAGTCAAAAGACTTAGATAGTGCGATCATTTTGTTTTAGATATGATTAGAGCTGCACAAACACCAGAAGTAATAGTAACAGGAAAAAACCACCACCACACCCTGATAAATTGGTTTGTCCCATTAGCACTTAGTCATCATTATGTGTAAGTGAGTTGACTTGCTTTGCTGTCTCAACATAAATATGTATTTTGGAAACCTTGTAAATCCCAAAGACTCACGTAGACAGTAATTAGAAAACGTGGACTTTTTTTATTGTACTTGCATGTGTACATGATTTTGTATTTAAAATGAGCAGATGCCCATGAAGCTTTGTCCAATAAGTGGTTAGGTCATTGCAAACTATAGACATGTCTTATGGCGTGGATTGTGTCTTCAAAGCCATTATCATTGCTTAAAAATGTAATTAAATACATGACGTGCAATGTGGCTATTGTACTCTAACTTCTCTTTGACCTTTGACTCTTACATTGTTCCCCTAAAGATAAGACGAACCTCTGAGACGGCGTCCATTTCTCCTCCAAACTCTTCTCCTCTGCTTGGCTCCCCTCACCGACTCATTTGCGTGAGTGCTGTCTTCACCAAATTCTATATGGTTTTTATCCTCGGCTTTCACTGTCAAAGCTTTCAATCAAACTATAATCCACTGCAAAAAAAGCACTGAAGCTCTTTCTGTTGTCTGTATCTGTCTCTGAGCAGACTTTTTGCCTGTCTGTTTGTTTTGCCACCTGTTTGTCCCCCCTGCTTCCCTACATCTCTGTTAACACTGAGCTGTCTGTTCCTCTGAGTCATAAGTCTATGGGTTTTGTTTCTTTTGGGAGGTTGGTCTTTTTTTATCTTCTTGCTTATTTTATCATTAAACTAGCCTTCAGGTATTTTATTTTGACCTACTAAACTGTCCGCCATTTCTTATTGTTCTGTGTATGACTATGTCTCTGTTTGTCTGTTTTTCATTTTCATTTTCCTTCTAAATAATCTTTTCTGCCCAATTTCGTGTATGTACAACTCAATTTCAATTCTCTCTGTCTTTCTCTCTGTCTTTGTCCACCTGTGTGTCCCTCTCCGTCTCACTCACACAGTCTAAGGCTGACAGTGATGTGTCGAATTATAAGCAGCTGGCAGCTCTGCCCAGGATCAAAGCCATTTATGACATCCAGCGGCCCGACATCATCCCTTATCAAGCAGACCATGCACATACACACTTCTCAGACGACACTGTGGAGCAATACAACTGTGGACAGGTACTTACTCACACACACACATACAGATAAACACACTGTCAGTCATTAAGTTTAAGAGCATCAGGTGATACTGAGCTACAGGATGTTTGTCCAGCAAAAAGTCGGATAAAAAGGAAACTGACAGAAGAGGTAACTCTTAAGGAAGGAGTAGTCATTGTTTGTCACCATCAGTCACTGTAATGACCTTTAATTGTCTCCCTCTCTTCCAGTCATTGGGCTCTTTGTCGCCATACTCTCATGTAAGTACTGCACACAAAGATTTTGCCGTAATGTCCTTTATATGTGACATGTAACCTTTTGAAAGGAGCATGAGAGAACAGTCAGACACTCTCAGCATGCTCGGAGTAAGAAAACGTTTTCATAAGACCTTTTTTTTTTTAGTAATATTTATTTCAGTCCATGACCACAAAGCATAGAACATACACGAACAATAAAAAAAAAAAAAACAATGGCCGAAAAGGTGTAGGATGAAGCCGAGGCTTATTATGCCTACCCTTTGAACATTTCATTTATACAGAGCGTGTGTGTGTGTGTGTGTGTGTGTGTGTGTGTGTGTGTGTGTGTGTGTGTGTGTGTGTGTGTGTGTGTGTGTGTGTGTGTGTGTATATATAGACTTACGAATGTTAACATCTGCTTTTATAGAGAATAAATCAATCATTGGAGGACTTGAAGGAATTATTCATTACTCTGAAATGTCAGCTTTCAGATCTTCAGTTGACCAGAATGAAACTATCTGCAATAGGAACAACACAGTCACTGTCATTTTAAAGTATTTATATGTTATACAACAATGTTAGGTCCAATGCTGCCTTGCAAAATACATGTCTGTAAAATATGTGAAATGTGAGTTTTTCCACAGTTAAGTGTCTTAATTTAATAGTTTCAATAACTATTATTGTTGCACCAGTCCCCAGTATCGGCAGATAACCAAAAGGTTTTGAAACAGACTCAGTGTCAGAAGAAATAAAATGGGTCAATGCGTTCTAGATCTGCAGCAAAAAAATCAAAGTTCTACAGGCTGATAATGGAAGCCCAAAACATAAACAAAAAAACACCCAGTAAAACCCCAGCTTATGTTTCTACTCATAACCATTTGTGTAAGGATTAAACATACATAAGAAATATGTCTTGAGGTTTTGATGGAGAGCTATGCTAGCTGTTTCCCCCGGTTCCCAGTCTTTATACTGAGGTACCCTAACCAGCTTCATATTAAGCACACCCACCTATACCAATCCTCTAGTTAATATCTTACCAGATAGTAATAACAGTGTTTCCCCTACCATTATATTAGAGGGCCGCCCCCCCAACGGCACCCCCCGCCCCCCTTTAAGGTCAAGTAAAAAAAAATAAAAGTATTGTAGAGATAGTATAGTGGATAGAGTCAGAAATCAGGGAAATAAGTCATTTAAGGATACCTTTCCAATAGAAAAGGACAGCTGTCATTAAAAGTAACCCATGAACACCAAGATTCCTTCAAGTGTTTGTGTCGGCGTGTCGGCGTGTCGGCGTGTCGGCGTGTCCCCACCCCCCCAACGCTGTAAACCCAGGGGAAACACTGAATAATGTTACAATTATAAATAGCCAAACAATTTGTTGTCTGTGGAATCTCCTCATAACTGGTTTAAAAGTCCCTGAGTGCTGACCAAATACCCTGAGAACAAGTTTTTGTGTGTGTGTGTGTGTGTGTGTGTGTGTGTGTGTGTGTGTGTGTGTGTGTGTGTGTGTGTGTGTGTGTGTGTGTGTGTGTGTGTGTGTGTGTGTGTGTGTGTGTTGTGTGTGTTGTGTGTGTGTGTGTGTAGGAATATGCCTGTGTGCAATGGAGATACTTCCAGCAACACTGTTTAAATAAAGAATATTAAACTCCTGATGTAATTACAATTTTGTTTTGGAAACAGGACTTACTGCACTTAGTAAATGAAGACCATTACTCTTAGACCTATCTCTCTCTCTCTCTCTCTCTCTCTCTCTCTCTCTCTCTCTCTCTCTCTCTCTCTCTCCAGGATCTCTTGGACGGGGTTGAGTTAAGAACGAGGCGTTCATCCAGCTCCGCCTTCACTGACTCTCCTGCACACAGTCACCACGGAGGCTCCCCACTGCATTGTTATCTTCCTGGTAATGTGCCCACTCAGGCAAAGACACATATTTCACTCACACACACACACACACACACACACACACACACACACACACACAGAATATGATAAGGTCCCTTACTGGAAAGATGCAATGTTTTTTGAGTGGGTGCTGAAGTTCAAACTTTTTTGGATCCCCAGAATTCCTAGAATCACCCTGAAACACACACACACACACACACACACACACACACACACACACACACACACACACACACACACACACACACACACACACACACTCACACACACTCACTCACACACACACGTACATGCTGTATGTTATTCATCAGTCCATACATCTATCTGTTTGGTGCCCTGGGCAATTCTGCCACTCATGCTTTGGTTTCTCTTACTGTGATTGGCTGGCTGACTGCAGGCAATGAGAGTGGCAGGAGTTCACCCTATTGCAGTCAGCCAGAGCCCAGGTGTGCTACACCCACCACCACCTCCACCCTTCAAGCCCCAAAGCATTTCCATGTTCCAGGTAGGCCGTCATCTGTACAGCAAACCTGAGACCCCTTCACTAACCTGCCTGCCCCCACCTCAACCCTACGTTCAGTTGTTTACGAATACAGCTTGGTTTTTTAGGCTAACATTTTAGCCTCTGCTAAGACTTTAGCAAAGCCTGGATATAAATCCTGACCCACAATCCACACTGCCTGCTCTCCTAACATACACACAACTGCATTACCCGTGAGATTTTTGCCTGATTGTGATCATTTGACACTTTAAGAAGAAATGCTCAAGAATGGGGCGCCAGTTTAGTTCAGTCAGTAGAGCTGCCACCCAGTGTTCAGAGGTTAAGGTCCCCGACTTAACATCCACTGGTTCGACTCCTGTTCTCAAACCTGTGATGCATCCCATTCATGAAGGCAAAAAGGCTCAACAATAATCTTACACAAAAATGCATGCTCAAATTTTTTGTTTATGAGGAGGGAATTATCAACAATGATTTTGTTTTAAATAATTGAATTCCTGTATTTTTTTTAAGCAAAAATCCAAAGTTTGAGCCTCTTAAATTTGGGGATTCACTGTATTCATGTTTTATTCACTTACTTTGGTTTTGGGTTGTTTTTAGATAAGAAAACAAATATGTGATGACTTCACTTTTCTTGTAAATTGGGATTTTTTAAAAATATTTTTCATGTTTCAGATATAATATTCAGATATTTCTATAACTAAATCATTCAAATATAACATTAAAAATGTTATATTGTCTCTTTTTACTGGTTAGAATACGGTCTTAACATCCATATTAATTGTGAACTTGCATGCTCTTCTCAGTGTGCTCTCGTCGGGGTTTCTCTCATTTATCTCATGGATCTGTGACTCTTGTATAACATATGAGTGCTTTAATCGAACAAGTCCGAGCTCAGTTTATTTAAGCATTTCCGGCATCAACCCCTCATTTTTATCAAGTTAATGCCTCTCTCTTCCCCTGAATGTTTCACTCTGTCTTTGTTCTCTCCACTTTTAAAAGCCCCTCTACTTCCCACTGCAAGCTGTGCATTTGGTTTCCCTCCATCATCCCCCCCTCAGCCTGCTACCAGTCCATTTCTCACTGTGTGTTCTCCCTCTTCCCGGCTTTTCTCAGGCTGTTATTCCTTGCCAGCCTTGAGACAGCACTCCCCTTCATGCTTCTCAACTCAGAGCAAAATGTATTTGGTGGTTGCTTTTATCCAAAGTGCCTCACAGTATCCCGAGTGCATACAAATTTAGCGCCGAGGCCCATCGGGAGTCAAGGCTCTAACTTTGGCATGTTCAGTATCACACTCTTTGCATTAGGAGGATTTTACATGTGCTTTTGCTCTATTTGTTACATATTGAAGGTTATAATTCAAATGATCAAAAATGTTGTTTGAGTAGTTTTCCTGAACTGACTCAACCTCACGAGAGCTGCTGTACAAGGTGCTCTTGTCAATCCAGAGTTTCTACCGCTTCTTCCTGTTTATTGCTCTCCTTCCAGCCTCTCCATCTCTCCACCCTTCAACTGCTCTCCTCCCTCTTCTTTATTCCTCTGCCATCTGCTGCTCTTTCCAGTAATAAGCCTGTGATTCTGTATTAATCAGCCTCCCTGCACGTCAGTCAGGCTGTCTGGATGCACGGCACTGTCTCTGCCATAGCAGTTTATTACCCGTTCTGTCAGCTTTACGGTTAAGGAGACTGTAAATGTACACAATTGATTCAGTGGGAGGGGATGAATAAGAAAACCTAGATAAGTCCTATCTCCTCTCCTCTTACTCTCCTACCTTGCTGCAATACTGATTTTGTTGTTGTTTCTCTTCCCAGCATCTGAGGGAACCAACATCTATAGGAAAGCCCCCATCTATAAGAGACCAGGTGAGCTGATTCCTCACAATGTTGTGCTTTTTATAGCGTTTGTTTGGCTGTCTTCCTGTCAGGCAGGCAATCGTTGAGCTAAATCTCAGTTTCCCTTCTAGTCTGTCTTACATCTGGCGATGCTCTCAGTCCTGTCCAGCTCTGTCAAAGAAAAGTATTCAGAGGAAGTGAAAACACTTCACAGGCTTTATGCTGCAGTGGCTTACCAGTGGAAAGTTTATAGAGAGCCAACAGATCATCTGAGGAGAGGATCAGTTTATTTAAAATACAGTCTTTCTGTAACAGACCAGCAGATTGTGTCTGTGCCCTGGTCTCTGAATCTCTCAATGCAAACTCTGTTTGGGCTGTGAGGAGAGTAGTCAAGTTATTGATAAGCCATTTCAAGTTTATATCAAGGATTAAAACCCAAACCTTCACAGATTTCAGCTAGTTTAACGTGGGTAGTTTCTGCTTTTGTATTTGTTATTTACTACTCTTAATATGAACTATCTATTTTTGACTGGTCTTGAAATATAGCTAACTGTGAAGGTGATTGTTGGAAGAGTGCACCTCGTAAAGCTAAAGCTCTCAAATCAGATACATACGGTAGCTCTTTAGTCAGGAACTCTCAAAATATTTAAATAGCTTAAATAACAAACAAATCTGCAGACACTGAACTGGTGAAACTCCATCCTCAAAAACACAAAGGATAAAGAAACTGTAATCAAACGCCTTCCTTTCTATACGTGGGCAAGTCCACCCACTCAAACCCCTGATCAGCACCTGAGATGGAAAAAGAGGAGGAAGAGGGAGACAGAAATGAAGCAGATCAAAACAAAACAAACCCACGAGCGGTGTTTCAAACAGTAGAGGTGAGGTCCACATCTTACAGTCGCCTTGTGTTTTGTAAAGCTCAAGTTTTTAACTGCTTGGACTTTACTTTCACTGTATTTGAGTACATGTTTGTACTTTTGCAACAAAAATGTCATTATAATTAAAGAGAAGATCCTTTTATTTACCTACTCTACCACAAGGCCCTCACTTGCCAAACAGCAATGCCACCTTCAACAGACCCCAAAATATCTCGTATTGACTATCTTAACTACCGGTAAGTAAAAGTTCATCAGGAAAAGAAGACAGTAACAAAAGTTAAAGATCTTCTGACCTGATTTGGTGCAGGTCTTCCCTTACTCTCTTCCACTTCAGATTCTTTGTTAATGACATTTGACAATTTGGTCATTCTGAATCTGTGTTAGTCATTGTTGTGCTGTCATAGTTAGCTCTTAAAATGACCAAAAGAATCCCTGGATTTATATTACCTTGTGTGAAAATGATTGCATATAGAGACATTTCAAATGAGAAAAAGAAAACTGAAAACTGCATCTCATTGGGAATCAACACGGGAAGATTCCCTTATTCCCTGCCAGAGGAAAAGTCAGATTGGTAACATCCCTATCATCTCTTACATCACCTCGTAACTAAAACTTACTCACACTTAATTTCTACAACTAAACAAACCAGACCTGAAATGGTTCAAGAACAGAACATCAATCTTTGATAGCTGTAAGCATATATGTGAGATTATAGATTCCATTGATGCTTCAAGACGTGACGTAAAACTCTGAAGTAACAGCGTTTTTTGCCTTAAGATGTGATGCACAAGACTCTTGAGTGTGAAGATGATCCATCAGATCTCAGATGGCAGGTCGGACTGAGTTGCAGCTCTTCAGAAACACCTCTGGATGATTTACTCTGAGCTACAAAGTGCTGACAAACCTCTCTCTCTTTTTCTCCTCAGTCATAAACAGCAAGCTGGGATCTGGGCTCTAAGGAAGAATCTGAATTTACAGCATAAATCAGTTATACGGCAGTTTATATATGAAAAGACCATAATCATGTTTATAAAGTGTATATTAAGTACCATAATGTTTGTCATAGTCAATCCTGATGGTACATGAAAAACTCACTTTGAAGGATAGGAGAGTGTCAGCACATGTAATACCAAAAAAAAAACACCTCCACATGCATACTGCTGACTTTTATCTGTGTTTTTGTTTCCTGGTGATGACATAATACGTGTTTTAAATGAAATAAATTGTTACCAGGATAAGGGTTTTTCGGTGGAAATGTCGATATATGGCTTCTGTTGGAGATGAGAGATGTATTATGTCTGTTTAATAACGATTTCCTTTTAATGGATTCCTTAACAGCCTAGAGTATTATCAGAATGTAAAGCCTTAACATTCCTTATGTCTTCTCACCAGGTTTTTACAATTTGATTGGACTATCATAACACAGCTACACAAACTAACCACATTACTCTTTAACCTTCTTCCATTCTTTCACCATGGTAGACTTTTCACTTCTAAGCACATTTGTGTCATTTCAAGCTGCTCAATAGGCCTGAAAATACTCGGGGATGGGGAGATTTTGTGATTTGTTTTGATTAAAAAAAAAAAACTTTCTTTGATTTCTAATTTCTGATTTAATATCTATCATTTTAGACGTATCCGCCTCTCCAACAGCCAGTAAGCGTAAGACCAATGAGAACCTCCTTAATTCCAGCCGCCTTTCCTCCTCCAATTGTAACAGCCTTTATCACTCGGACTCCAACTACTTCCCGTATACTGGCTCTCCTAAAGGTATCTCCCTTTCTTTGTCTGAAACAAATGCTTCTGTATTCCCGCCAACTGCTACAATTTGTCCTCCATGTCTCCCTCACTAGTCTCCAGGGTGAGAAGGTTTTCGTCTGGAGGAGAGGAGGATGGATGGAATCACAACATAAACAAGGTGAGAAAGAGAGAGTCTCCTGCTTCTCTCTTTTATATATTTCAGGGTGTGTTAATATTTAATGAGCAGGTTAATTAAATGCTTCCTTTCAGGCACACCCTCTGGACATGTTTCAAATGAATCTTCCCTCCGTCTTTCGCCTCATTCTCATCTCTTTCTGTCCAGGCAACAACATTCATTTTTGTCTGTCTTATACACTGTTTATCCATTATAATCCATCAATAAATGAGTCATTTATTTTGTCCAAACTGGTATTGTTCCATCAATACGTATGTCCATTTTCTGTCCATTTAAAACATCCTTCTATTCCTCTCTACTTTGTTTCCTCTTCTTCTTCTCTCCTCCTCTCCGCCCTGCAGGGAATTGGCAGAATGATCCTGAAGGAGGAGATGAAGGCGCGGTCAGGTTGTTATGACAATGACCTATGGGGGAGCAGACGCAGTTCTCGCTGCAGCAGCAGGGAGGCGCTGAACAATCTGGGATTCACCTCCCTCAACGGCTGTAAGTTTGTAGTCCAAGATGTGTGCTGCATCTGTTTCTATTTTTTCTTAAATTTGTCTGTAAAACCGCCTTATTTTTGTGGATTTACTACATTTACGACATGACAAATACTATATATAAGTGCTAATATCCCTACAAAGACCATGCTAACATGCTGATGTTTAGAAGGCATAATATGACCATATACACCAGTGTAGTTTGTCTAACCAGCATTCTAGTGTTTCCTATTTTGTTGTTGTTTTATCGATGTCCCACAAAAGCTGCATTTTTTTATTTCACATTTCATCAAAACTAGTTTTGTCAAGTTAAAGTTCCAAAAGTTCATCGTTTTGCTTTGAATATAGTCTTTGGTTTCACATGTATGATCCTCAGCACGGCCGCATGCTAATGTTTTCTGTGGGGTTGTGTTTTCAGTGCAAGATGTTTGTCTATTAGCAAGTAGGTTAACAAAGACCTTATAACCCCATTCTTATTAAACTGATGTCACTTGGTTGGAGGTTGTATCATTGGTAAAGGAAGAGAACCCAGCTGACTCTTGAACAAGCAGTTCTAATGCCTGAATTGAACCATGTGTCATGTTATGGTGAAAATGGTGTTCACAAAAGGGCAATTATATGAAAATGCTAATTTAGTAGCGTCTTACATGACAAATACTATTTTTTTCCCATATCCAGCTTCAATTTAACTCTACTGTTAGACAACGGTAAGACTTGAATCCTGAATTTCAAACTAGACTCAAAAGAGCAATGTTTAGCTTGGCTTAGACAAATTATAAACAACAACAAACTATCTAGGATCTGTAAAGTCTGTGTAGTATCTAAAGAGGTTGAGGTTGTTTTTTTAGGTTCAAAGCAGAAATTAGGATCAGATTTCATTTAGAGTTATGGTGATGACTGAGCTTGGAGTTGAAGGTTAGAGGATACCTTTATGAGAGAGGAAGAATTGTGTGTGTGTCTTGTTGTGATGCTGAACAAGCCTTGTGGGGGGGGTCCCACTTCTGTATTAACTCTCCCATTGATCCCATTCCTCATTGCATTCAGCACATGTGAGGGCGAGACAAAGATGGAGAGACCCCATGAGAGAAAGAGAGAGAGAGTATTTAAGTGTAGATCAAATGGGAATAGAAGTGAGGGTGTTATAACAGGAAGAATAGAGAGAGAGAGAGAGAGAGCTGGCAAGATAAAGTGAAGTAAATTTTAAAAAGAAAGAAAAGACAGAGTGAGAAGCTAAAGCAATTCGGAGCTGTTCACAGGAGATGTACGACATGAAGCTGAGAGGTAAATCAGGGTCAGGGGGCGTTGGCGGGAGATGAGCTGCGTGCACAGCGAGGTCAGACAGAGAGAGAGAGGTGTGGATAATATTGGTGTTCAGTGCTGTGTAATCACTGTGGCTTTATAGTGTCTGCTGTTATACTACTGATTAGAAAAATGCCCAGAGATGTGTGCTAATCTATTCTTCACATGAGGCTAATTCCAAATTAAAGTGTCCACAGTTTCAGAAAAGTGACATCAACTCCAAATGAGTAAGAGACTTAATTAACCTTAACTGATATTAACCAGGCTAGCACTCTAAGCTCAGGGGTGGCAATGTCGGTTTACTGGTCCCAACTGAGAAAATCTCAAACACTGTTAGACTGATTGCTTTGATATTCCTGGTAACCACTGAATTAATTCAACAGACTTTTGTGATGCTTTGACCTCTTACCTTGAAATGCACTTATGTAGTTTCTAGTCATAAATTGGAATGAATTTGGATGCAATCGTTAATATTTTCCATTAATTTTATTAACTAATGGAAGGGTTTTGAGACAAGGGACAGCTGGGGACAGACTTATGACAACTCCTCCTATATTACTTAAAGACTATGAATTACCTGTTGTGAGGCGTTTTATGTCTTTGAATTCAATTTTGTGACTTTTTGAGGTCATTTTGGTTATCCCTCAGTAAAAAAATATATCTCTTCTGGTCATGTTGCATCTCTTTTGTATTTTTTATTGTTTGATTGAACCTTCAGCTAGAATGTTAAAAGTCAAACAAGCGGTGGCCTCAGGCCCCCTTATCCCTTTTCCCCCGTGAACTGTGCACAGTAAGCCCATTCCTATTTATAACTTTGAAGAGGATTTGGCTTTTCTCTCACTCCGCTGTCTCAACATTAGCATTCAGTTTGTCTAATAATATTGTTTTCAATAGGTACCAGCAAAAGCTTTGTCATCAAGTCCATGTGAACGGCTTTACTCGGACAGTGGACCTGCTCAACAGTTCACCCTCGTAACGCCAGAATGTTTGCATTGCCATAATGATGATTTTAGCATTTAGCTTGTAGCTACCGTGACAAACTAGAAGTTGAGTGGATTTTGGTGACCCTGTAGATAAAGCAGTACCTCTTATCTATTAGTTGTACATACAGTGTACAGTGGTGTTTTCTAGTCTCACTGGTTTCTTTTTACTGTCTTGTATCACTTACAGTGAATCTTCTGCTGAAACTGTAGTTTCTGCCTTTGTTTGACACTGTCTTGGTGGCAGCCGTGACAGGCATTAAAAAAATAAATATTCAAACTCCTTTTCTGAGTTGCTTTTGTAGGTCAAATTGAGGCATCAGTATTAATTTCAGTCTTATTCATTCCCGACTAAACCCAGACCTGGTATCATGGCTGACTCTTAAGTCTTGTTACACTACGGTCAATGATAATAACCTACATGATAAAATAAAACCTCTATACTACATTTCATATTCCAGCATGTTTGATAAAGACAGCCAACAGTCCATTAATATTACAACGTGCAGTGCTATACACGTATGCATTTTTAACACAAGTGGCCTGATGCTGCATGACTGCTTGTGCCCATGCTGCTCCATATTTTATACGGTGTGTAGGTCTTCATGGTGATTTGACTGTATGTTGGTACTTCAGGGGGCATATTTCACACAGCTGATGTTTTAAAGATGTCCTCCAACAGCTGGCCTTCTTTATTTCCCTCCTCCTATAAACTCTCTCAATTTACTGTTTGTGCATATACTGTTATATGTTTATTAACCCCTCTAAACAAGGTGTCACATACTGCGCAGGTTAATGCACGACACTAATATGCATGGTTTATAACAGAACATGTACACAAACACGTCCTCTATATCTTCTTCTGCATCATCATCTCATTGAGTTTGTCTTCATGCACATACAGTTTCTAAGTTCAGTATACAGGACACAAAATCTGATCATTCCCAGCCAATTGCTCAGTTGGAAGACATCCTGTTAACTTCTCTTCCTTAAAGGGCTTAAAAGCTGGTTTCCTGGGCAGATTAATAACCCGCTAAATGCTAAAAACAGAAGTTCCAAAAATATAATTGTGCCAAGCATGTCCCTGTTTTTGTATAAATTGTTCACAGGTGAACGTCTTTTATCCTGAGCATTCTCAAACTTTGTGTCCGGTGTTGAGTCTGATTTTTAGATGTAGCACATAGCACCACTGGGTCCTCTTCATGGTGCTCACTTTATCTGAAAATCAAACAGCTTCCACTTTTTCCCGCAATCTTATAGCCACAACATTTGAAGTAATATAAAACACAAGTGGTGTTTGACTTCTTCTGGGTTCTTTAATGATTTTAAGGTGTAGAGGGTTAGTGCAGTCCCATATTGTTATATACTTAAGCTCTTTTGTTGGGATAAACTTTTCAGGGATCTTTTCAGAGGCTTTTTAGGTAAAAGGAAAATGTTAGATCTTTATTTTATCTTCATGTTGATGTTAATGAAAGTTTCCAAGCCCAATTTGAAGGGATCTATTCCATGCCACAACAATTTGTAGCTAAGTTAAGTGATGTAATTGTTATCAATTGTATCTGAGGTGGATTTTATATGCAAGAGTGTTTAGAAGAGGATGTTGATATATGTTGGTTTTTGATTTTCCTTTGTTCTGTCTACCTCCATCCAACCCCTTTCACCCTCCCCCTCCCCTCCTGCTGTCCCTCAGCTCCCAGGTCGCTCCACAGTGCAGACAGTGGTGAGTGGTCCATCAGTGTGTTTTGATCTCTGAGGTCATCAGTTGGCCGTCTTCTCTCTAAACCCTGTATAGCTGGGAGATTGTTGTCAACACACACACACACACACACACACACACACACATTCTTTTTATTTGGGTACAGGTGGGAAGGTGAATGGACTGAGGCTTAGGCCTGTATTTATCAGCTTTTCTTCAGCAGTAGCACTTATCCAGGATCACTGACCTGAAGCTCTCTCAGCCATCTGTTTCAGAATCTACACTTACACACTTTTCATTGTTATAAAATAAGTCTTTTAAGAGCTCAAGTTACCCACACTTTGCCTCTGTGTTGCTTAATTTAGTGTAGTTTGTGTATTTGTTCTGCTCACTATCTCTCTTATTGCTCTTACTTGGATTTTAACATAATCCCAACATACAGTTGAAACTTGATTTTTTTAACATCCTAAAATTTCATTGTTCTGCATCGAACTGCCATAGCATGCCATGCTGGAGTGACAAAAATAACGGATCAGTAATTGTGCTTAAGGCTTTATGAGCTTTATTGTGATGATTAAATGACAGCAGTGATTATAAGCCCACACTTACATTATGGAACATTGACAAATGAAATGCTTAAGTTGGTAGATACTACACTTTTTAACATTAGGGCACACTTTGATAAAACAACTTACAATATTTGCAGATGACATAGTTGTTTAAAGGTCACAGATTATGCAAAATACACTTTACAATGTTTTTCTTAAACTAATTTCTATCCCCAGTCCCTCTACAAACCCCCCAATTATGAGAATATCCATCCTCTCCACTCCACACAAAAATGTGTGCTCAAACAGGCCGTTTGGATATGTTCCCTTTGTGACATCACAAAGGGCATTAACCCCTCCCCAGGTGGGTGACAATCCCACAGCTAGGTGTTTCTTCTGCCTTCTCACTTCTCACTGTAAACAATAGGTTTTGGAGCTAGAAAGCCCAAACCACATCACCTTCCAGAGAGGGGGCGTGGTCAGACACAGCTCATTTACATTTAAAGCTACAGACACAGAAACAGCCTGTTCTGAGCAGGGCTGAAATAGAGGGGTTCATTGACATGATCAAATAAAAGATCAGAGTGGATTTATAACATGAAACTTCACAGACATGTTTCTGGGACTTCTGAGAAAAGGGGGATAATGTGTGACCTTTAAGTATATTAAAGCAGATCTCACATTGTTTCATAACAAGTCTTAACGTCTCTGAGTATTTTATTGTCATTTATCACCAGAGTGATGAAGACAGAAAGAGAAGGTGAATGGGGCACAAAGCAGATGAGAAGGAGGATGTAGAAGAGCTAAAGAGTTTAATTAATGACAAAGTCAAGAATTAAAAATGAAAGTGGTGAGAGTAGAAAGAAAGGGGAGTCAGAGCATCGGTGTGACTCTACTGCCCTCTGCTGCTGCTACTGCAGCAGTGCATACCTCAGATAAAGTTATCTTGGAGGATGCTGCTGGTTACCAATAGCTACCAGAGAGATGTGACCATGCTGGAGGAGTGACAACAACATTGAAGAAAAGATTCATGTTGTTGGTGTGGGGTTGGTTGGGTCTTCCTGGGTAACAAGAATACCACATTTTTCTAACACATTGACCCTGAATGTGGTTTGTTTCTGCAGACATTTCCACTAGAGATCATATTTATGTTGTTTATTTTGTAATTATGTTGTAAATGTTATAACAAGAGGTTTAACCAGCAGATGTTTACAACTGGCTTCACTTGTAATGTTTGTTAATAGACTCATTATACTCCCTTTGTCATTGATTTTTACCAAATTGTATGTTTTCCAAGCCACAATTTTCCCTCAACACTTTGCCATGTGGGTGCATAGTAAGCAGCAATGGCCTTGAGGTTTACAAAGCAGATACATTATTTGATAGGAGAGCTGCTGCTTTGAATTTTTGTACTAAATATGATTCAAAAGTTCCCTCAGATACTGATGACAAAGATGTTAGAAACTATTTTATAATTAGCAACTGTCAGTGAGACATTGTGTAATGTGACACATTCCTCACTGGGTTCATTTGTCTGCGCTTTTACTTTTCTTCAGTTAGTATTTGACTCAACCATATACTTCTGGTTCACTACAGTTTAACAGATCATATTGTTTCTACTCCTTTATATCTGCTGTTTATATATCAATCTATATATAAGTTTTATATGTTGTATTGCCACAGACTAAACCCGTTACTTCTAACCTTTATGGCCTGTAACCAGTTATGTAAAACAACACTACATGTTACTTTCTTCTTAGATTTTTTTTCTTTAAATAACTGTTCTATAAATACGTGAACTAATACCAATATTTCACTAAAAAGCTGAGAAAAGATTTGAGCTCTCAACCCTCCAGATTAACTTTTTAACCTTTTGAGTTAAGCTACGCCCTAGATTGAGAACCAATGTATGTTGTACTGTTACAATTAAATCCTTAAAATACAACTTGCTGATAAGACCTCTGTAAATGTACTTATGTAGGATTATAAATTTAAGGTTTCTAGTTTTAGTAATGAATGAGTACAAATCTGTGTTATTCCACCTACTGTACTCTACTGGTGTGTGTAAATTCTGTGTTTATTCATGGTTATTTGTTTATGTATTTCCAGACTCATACATTGCCAAATCGTCCTCGTTGCCAGGCTACGGCAAAAATGGAATAACCAGGGTGAGCAATCGTGATGAATGGTTGTGTAAGTGTGTGTGTATTTGTGTGTGTGACAGAGAGAAAATAAGACAGGCATGGCCATTCACTAAACTATGAGCTATGGCAAAGTCCTTCACTCACCACTGAACCTGTGAAACTGATTTGTGTTAAGTGAAATACACAACTGAAGTCCCTTTTTAGTGCATAAAAGATTTTCATCGTGTTGCGCACTTTGCTTGATCTTTTCCGTTCATTATAATGATGAAACAAATATTCATAGTCCATGTTTATTAAACAGATCTTGATGTGTTCTTGCAGCCTGGGAGTGCGGGTGCAGATTATTACCAGTATGACAGCAACAACGCAGTTAATTGGCAGATCAGAGGTAAGCCTATTGTGCGGCTCCAATCTGCTTATCCCCAGTTCCTCCTGTCCTCTCTTTATTTACCTCCCCTCCTCGTGCATGTCAGTCAAAGTTATTTGGAGTGTATTAATTAACAGAACACAGATGACATCAAATGTAACAGTTAACATATCTGATTCTGTACTTTCTCCTTTTCTTTCAGAATACAAGGTAAGATACCAGAGAGCTGTGACTGAGCCAAGGCTAAAAGGTCTGGATGAATGGATTATAGATTATGATGATGTGTTGCCTGTTTCAAGTTCCTATTGAATGGTGAATTCATATCACTCAGTAACACCCACAGCTTTCAGTGAAAGTTGTGAATCTGTCTGACTCATTGCATTGACAGCAAAGTGTAAGAACCAAACAGACACAGAGGGCACACTGTTTGTGAAATTGAGGGCGACGAGACCAATCCCTTCTGGGTAGAAAAACCTTATGGGAAAATGTTGATATTTTACAGTAGTCTGAGTTATTTAAAGGGCAAAGTTATAACGCCCCATTTAATGCTATACTACTGATGTATTTCTTATACGCCTTCATATCTTTCTTTCTCCCATTTTATATGTAACTTTACATCAAAGAGTCAAATCCATTAAGTCAAGCTGTGTTTGTAGCAATCCCAGAAATGTTGTTATACATCCTCACAACCCATCTTTTTATGGGTTCTAAGAAATGTATAAGCAGCTACTGTAAGCTGCAAGCTTAGCCTTAGCCATTGCCGTGGTAATGGTGTTAATGCTATTTTGGCCACTTGAGGGTGACAAAGGAACTTCAGCATTTCCGTCACCTTATCAGCCATATTAGGCAACTGAACCTTTTAGTAAACAATGTGAAAGACATAATCTGTGACACACACTTGGAAGAGAATCTGAATCTGCCTGATTTATAGTTTCTGAGGGAACATGTCTGAGTTGTTGTTGTTTGTGTGTGTGTTAGATCTACCCATATGAGGCTCTAATTGTGTCAATCAGAAAGAAGCAGCGTCTCCCAAGTGATGTCGACCGAGCCAGACTGGAGGTAAACTGATAGCCCTAAAGCCCATAGTGTAATAAAGAAACACAGAAAAGTGTTGTGGCTCTTAAGGTTGCAATGTTTTGTTTCACCATTCAAAATGTATTTACAATATTTACCAACTTAGATATCATTGTGTTAGCATGCTGAAAAATGTCCACTTAGCTCTCTTTATAGTATAGCTAAAACTGGTAGCTTTGTAAATAGTTCTCCAAAGTCTCTGGGGACCATGACCACCTACTGAGAAGATCTTTAAAACACATTTAACAGTTGACATATTTTAATTTGTGCATCACTTACAGGTAGACATACAACGCCAGGCTAGCAGCATAGCTAAAAAACGTTTTATTCATTATGTTTCTGAGGCAGGCAGTGATTTGTTGACTTCATTTGACACTTTTTCTTGTTTTAGTACACTCATGTAGCTAGTAGCAATCACTGGCTCTCGGGCTCTTAAATTGCTCTCTGTCTCCCCAGCGTCATCTCTCACCAGAGGAGTTCTGCAGAGTTTTTGGCATGTCCATGGCTGCCTTTGATCATCTTGCTCAGTGGAAGAAGAACGAACTGAAGAAACAGGTTCGACTCTTCTGAAAAACTTAAGTCAAAAGAGGTGCTTTACCCAATGCAAGTCCACTTCCAGCAGTCTATGCTTCCAGCCAGCATTGCTCTCTGAAAAGAAGCCTCCAAAAAAGCCTGATGACCCAAGATTGACTTTCTGTCTCTGAGGAACTGGCTTAAGTAAAGGTTTTTCCTCCTTTGGGTTGAAAAGAGTGGAACTGTTGGCATCCTTAACTTAAGAAGCTTTAACTTATGCATACTTGGACCCCATAGCAATATGTAAGGAGAGAGCCAACAGGCTAGACGGAAAAACGTCTGACTTAAGAGCAAGGAGAACTGAGAGGGGATAAGTTAGACTTCTTGAGAGAGCAGATGAAGAATACTGGAGCTGGAACAGAACAAGGATTGATGAGGAGAGGGAGTAGTTGGCTGAGTCTCCATCTCCAACCAGCAGATGGCATTGTGTTTGCAGGAGCATTAGCAGAGCAGGTGGAGTGTTAGCTGAAGGACTTGGTACCAGATTGATGGTCTGCTACAATGAGTCAAACACCAATTTATGCCCCAAGTGACAGAGGTTGATTTGGAAAGCATCTTTGCTGCCTGAAAGACCGACTGATATGTTGCTGATGACAAAAATAACCCAAGCTGTGTGGACAACTGTGTGGTCCTCAACATTAGGGGTTTGGGCATGACATACATACAGTGTTTTATAATGTATTGATTCTAAAATTCAAAGTTTTGAATTACAAAAAAGTTTTTCTTTTGTAATACAGGCATGTGTTTGATTGTAATGTCAGTTTTTCTGGAGCCATATCAGTGTTTTTGGTTCTTCTTTATGATCTGGGCTGAATGTAAGGTCACTGAAGTGGTCTTTGAAATACAATTAGTCATGGCTCTAAACACAGAAATGTTATAGTTAAGTTTAGAAATGAGGTTTGAACACTTTACAATATTTGTGTTTCCCTTGTCCCTTTAATGAAATCATAGTTTTGTTAATTTATACCTTCAGCTGCACTCATGAAGGTGCTGGATTATGTTTATGCAAAATGGAACTGTGTGTGTCTGTGCGTAATTACAGCAAATTTAAGATAGAGGGTTTTAATGGATTTGTATTCATAAACCCTCAAAAGAACGATTAGGTTAAGACAGGAATGAGGGAGATTTAAAGAAAAAAAGGGAATAGAGAAAAGGAAGCTAAAAGGGAAGGAATGTGTGAAGAATGGACGACAAAGCCAATGTAAAAGAAACTTTGTAAAGAACTCCCTCCGATATGTTAATCAAGAGTTGACTTGTTTCTAAAGGAAAGTGTTCAACATCTATAAGGAAACAGCACGAGTCTGGGCTTGAAGGGATTTAACTAGTCGTGTTTTTTACCTGAATGTACAAGATGGAATATTGTTTCCTGCTGCTGCGAAAACTGGTACCACCAGGTGTGTATGTCTTTACAGGTCTTAATTTAAAACATTTATAGTATGCAAGCCCATGTCAGCCAAGACATCTCCTGAATAAATGATTCAGGCATCACTGTTTATTTTGTATTGTCCTTGTTCATATCATTAAAGAGTGCAACTCATGATGATAGCTGGGATTGATGATGATAATAAGTCTTCCAAAGATGTCCAGAAATGTGTTACTCAAATGTTTTATTAAGTAATTCACTAGAAATCCATCATCGACTTCTTTCATGTTAGCTTTCACCAGACCAACAGCAACCTGGTTAGAGTTTTACTGAGCTTCAACTACTACTACTTACTATTTTCTTAAGAAGTAAGAGCAGAACGGACAAATGAATTAACCAACATACAGGACTTGTAATAACATATTCAAAAATATATATATACTTGAATTGAAGCCCAGATGTTTCCAGCTTGTACTTCTGTCTAACCTTGACCCCCTCACCACACGTGTTTAACAGAATGTCATTAATTATCTAAAAAACGGCTCAACATTTCGAAAGATGGGCAAACTGATGGACGGATAGTTCAGTTCAGTTCAGTTCAGTTTATTGCCATTTGTAGCATAAAAACCATTGGAAAACATGTAGACAGTACAATTGGACAAAGACACAGGACAGTAAAACTAAAACGTCAAGGCATAGAAAAAATTGTAGATGTATGGTCAATTAATAAATCGAACTACAGTATAAACGGTCAAAACTAGATAACTTGTAGAAATGGTAAACTAAAGCAACATTTAGGCTTATGACTGAGTGAGCCAAATCTGAATAATACAGGCCTATTGTAAAAGTTTCTTTAAAATAATGGCTCAAATGTGGAATTAATTACAATTAAGTGTGGGATACTTTGTTGAATAAATGTGCTAAACATAGGCGAGTAGCCTAGATGAGGAGTAAAAAGTAAAAAAAAAACAACATGTTTTTAACTTAAACTAATGGTTTCTATAGTTAGCTTAAAACAAATGGATTAAAATGGAAATCTTAAACTAATGAATAAACTGTGTAAAACATTATTTTACACCATTGGGGATGGGAAACAAAACATGTTGAGGATTGAAGTATAGGCCTAAGCTAAAATGTATGTGAAAGTGTTGAGAAAGTTAGGATAGTATCGTAATGCATAGCCTAACCTGATGAAACATTTAGCTTTACTATAGCCTACAACAGGGATGGGCAACTTTGTTCACAGCAAGGGCCACATTCATTTAATTCTCACTGCCAGGGGGCCAAATTGTAGCATACAAAAAACGATTACAGTCGACTATGTCTCAAATTTAACTCAACATATACCAGTGATCAAATATTATTATGGACATATTTCTGGTTTTCATGATTTCACGGCAGGTTTTGTCATGTTTTCTTCATTTTTCCAATTAATTGGAACGTGACCTGAGGGCCACGTTGAGGGTTGATGGGGGCCGCATGCTGCCCACTCCTGGCCTACACTCACAGGGCTAACTTGTTATATTTCTTTCGCCTGTTAAGTTAAAAAGAAAGGATGAGAAAATCTCTGAAAAGATGAGGGAGTAGTATCTATTAGCCTAGTGAAAACCACAGATTTAGAGGACATCTGTGGTGTAGCACTAGGACCCAGTGGAGCTCAGAGATGATGAACCAGCGGCTGCGAGTCAAACTACAAAACTGTAGCGGCCACTGACTCACTCAGCCGCGCGGAGGCTGGGAGAGCTCCGCGGTGTCTGTGGCGAACACGTCTTTATCAACCATTGAATGAAACAACTAACTAAAGGACTAACTTCTGAAACAAGCAGCGTGTTTCTAACCTGAAACGACATGAACTCCATACGCCAAAGTGGTGAGTAACAGTCTCTCCTTTGATATCAAATGTTTTGTCTTGACTCGCAGTAACTTCACTGACTGGAGTAACTTTAGGAAAAAACACACATTAGAAGTAATAACCTTTTAAAAGGACAGAAACGCGTTGGGGTTTATCCTGCCCAAAAAAAAATGTTGTATTTGTTCTCGTCATAAACTTGGGTAACGGTTCAACGTGTAAGCAGACCTTCTTCTTAATTTCATTTATTTCTCATGAAACGTGAAAGTATGTCCCAGATGTTTTGTCTGAGGAAACCGAGCACGGCTCTCGTACCCTGCTCCTGGTTTACGGCAGAAGAAGCCTATCGGTAGTGATGTCATACACCTACACGCCGGGTGGTGTGCTGTGTGAATGTGTGTGTGTGTGTGTGTGTGTGTGTGTGTGTGTGTGTGTGTGTGTGTGTGTGAGTGTGGATGAAGGCGGTGTCGTCACACAGGTAGAGTGATGCAATTTGATACCAACAGGGAAGTGCCTTGTTGGAAGCAGCGCCGCTGGAAGTGAAGCTGCGGTGGCCGCAGCTCAATGGCCGCTCTGTTTCAGAGCCTTCAGGCTGCAGGGCTGCAAACAGGAAGCTGCATTATGAGACACCAGGTGATGAGGCTTTCAAATATCTGAGAAACGAAGATGACTATTCAAAAGGATACAACAAGTCAGAGGAAATCATCAGAACTTCTCCTTCAAATAATCCTTCACGTTGTTTTTCCTTCAAGTAGGCTAATTGATCTGATTGGCCCTTTATTTTTTTGGCTCGGTAACAATTCACACACAACAATTGTGTCAGTTCCTGAAAAAGAAAACATAGAAAGGTGTAACTTAAGAAGTCACTTGTGCTTATTTTAGAAACAACATTCTGACATATTTCACCAAACCTTTTGAGAATTGCTAAATCGTGTAAATAACTTTTGACCTACAGTCGTATCAGACAGTGTCCAAGCTGATTTCCATTTAAAAAAAAAAAAAAAAAGAATGTGTGACAGTTTGACGACGTGTAAACCATCATTAATAAGCCATTCTGAGATGTATTGTTTCCACATCTACAGCTGTGCACTTGATAAGAAAATACCCTTGTGGAAAAAACAAGACCATTTTTAATTAAGCATTTAGGACCAAAATCTCACCTACCACAACAAAACATTAAAATGTTGAGAAGTGTTAGAATGGTAGAACAACAGGGGCAAAGTTTTCATACATTCTTTGGTAGAGTTTGTACGTCCATTCCTGATTGCATTTTGAACACCCACACTGGAACATAAGTCGTCTGTTTAACCACTGCCACGAGCCTTGACCTCGACCATGGTTCTCTCACACACTTCCTTTCTCATCCAGTGATACTCCACCCTGCCCCCTCTTTCCATCCTCTCCCTGTCAGGATGTCCAGAACTCTTCAGTTATTTTAGTTGAAAAGGGAAATGGCTTTGCCTCCACAAAGTCATTTTCACACACACACACACAACACACACACACACACACACATCATGTTTTGTCCAGATGGGGGTCTTAATATAATGAACACCATCTACAATCATTGCAATACATCCAACAATACCTACTCAAGCTTTAGCAAACCTTTTATTACAGACATGATGAAAGCTTTTTAAATATCAGGCTATTGATAGTAACATGTTAGCTAGCTTAGCACAAAAAAAACAGTTTTGACACATAAGAGAAAGGAAATCGAGCATGTTCACATAGAGCTTTAGGAATTATGCCAACTTTTACACTGAGCCAAGCTATAGGTTATTTTCCCCAGTTTTCCAATGCCTTTGCTAAAATAAGCTGAATTAGCCTGTTTTACCTTCTAAATGAGTGCTTTAAAAATATCATAAAGAAATGTTTAACGTTACTTCAATTACATTCCCCTTACTAAAGCATACATCAAAGAATAAAGTCTAGCTAATTGCAACGTGCAAGTTATTCCCACTGTCACAACTGTGTTCAAATGGCCTCTTACCTGGTGAGCTACATCACAACAGTCTGGCTGTTAGATTAAACTCCTTCTGTGCCACAGTGTCTGTTCCCTGTGTCTCCACACTATTTACCAGCCTATCTGGGGAAAGTGATAAGATACTGAAAGAATGTGAAAAAGAGAGAATTAACGACTCTTCTCCTCCAGCTGTTTCTTTTTAAAGATCTCCACTTTGGCTCTGGAGGGGACTTTTTTAAAGTGTCTGACTGAATGGTAACCCGGGGCGAGCAGTGACACCAATCTACTGTTGTCATGAAATTATGAATTGCAGGATGCTGGATCTGTGAAGAAGACTTTTGTTTTAGAGGGAGCTGCTGGGGCCGCCAAGACTTGACCTGTGACCTCGGCCTGAAGTGGATGGGTGTCTTGAGAAGGGATAGAGGGAGGCAGACAGACAAGGGAGTGGAGAGAAAGAAAGGAGTGGAAGGGAGAATGTGGGATCAACCTCTGGGATGGTGGGGGAGGCAGGAACTTGAAAGATGCAAAATATCAGCTTCAGACACTTTGGAGGCTTGAAAAGTCTCCTGAAAAGAAAGCATATGTTTGCATCAGGTTTCCTGCTCCGATATTCACCTACTACAGGGGACACAGACTAGACAACCAAGGAAATTGAGTGCCGTCACATATTTCTGAAAGGTTTGCAGTAGTAAAGTGAAGATTTGAGAGGCGAAACAGGGAGGAGGTTAGCCTAGGATTGATGTGATTGATAGGTTGGACGTGTAATGGATGGGAGTGAAAGCCTCAGGTTAGGAGGATAAAAGTATGAGTTCTCTGTCACCCTTAAATATAATGTGGTGAGATAACAGCAGCAGCGAGGTTGTTTTGTTCTTTGCTGCAACCAAACTGAAAGGTTGCAGTAGTAAAGTGAAGATTTGAGAGGCGAAACAGGGAGGAGGTTAGCCTAGGATTGATGTGATTGATAGGTTGGACGTGTAATGGATGGGAGTGAAAGCCTCAGGTTAGGAGGATAAAAGTATGAGTTCTCTGTCACCTTAAATATAATGTGGTGAGATAAACAGCAGCAGCGAGGTTGTTTTGTTCTTTGCTGCAACCAAACTAAATCAGTTCCAATGAGAATCGCATGCTTCAAGGTCCCATGACTGACCGCTTCATACTGGAAGGCCGTCTGCACACAAAAATGTATGTAAAAGCTCACAGATTCTTTTCTGTCATGCTTTTGGGCTGTATTTTTCTTCTTTTTTATAGGACAATGTCTCTGTGTAACAGACAAATAAATAATTCAGGGAGAAAAAGGATTGCAAGAAGAAATCTGTGCCGTGTGTGTGCATCATGCATGTGTGTGTTGGTGCGCCTGTGTTTGTGTGGAATGGGGGGTGTACAAAGATCCCTCTGTGGTGCGGCAGACCACAAGCCTCTAGAACAGCTGATTCTCAGCCTCTGAACCCTCGGGTGCCCCCTGAGAGAGAAGGAGAGAGAGAGAGAAAGTGATAGAGAGAGATAGATGTACACAGACTTCAAGAGAGAGAGAGAAAACTAATGGACGGCCTTGACTGTCTGTGTAAAGTTCGACTGCAACAAGCAGAATATAGACCAAAGGCCACATCAGAAACGCCATCATCCCACTTTAAGCTCAGTTTACACAGACATTGATTAGAGTGTTTTATTTTTTATAGCATATGTTGAAACATTTCTTGGAAAAGTGACGCACAATAGGTCTTCAACTTGAGCAACTATCCGCTGAGAAGCTTCTTAACATCTTCATCAATCGGTGGTGAGAACAAAAACAGATGGAAGAGGAAAAGAGCAGGAAGAAAAAGTGGGAGCAGAGAAGGTGAGATTTCAGAACGATGGAGGACAGAGTCAAGATCAGGAAGGAGTGGAGGAAAGCTTCTGTCAGCAGCTAAGACAGGAAATCACAGCTGCTGGCTGAGAAATACTACATACACACACACACACATATACACACTCACACACACACACACACACACACACTCAGCTGCTGGAGAAATATCTTTTAACCCAGAATGCCCGTGGATTGAGCCGATGCAGCTGCGGAGCACCACGCCTCTCTTTTGCTGTGTGTGTGTGTGTTAGTTCCTGTTTTGTTTATGTTGGACTTTCTGACATTGTATTGTTTGCTCTGGTCTTGCGGAGCATTGTGATCGTCTAAATTTGGCCCTTGTAGAGACAATAGAGTATTGTGGGACTTGGGGGAGATGTTGGGGGGGCAGAGGGCTTTTTTCTCTCTTTGTTCATTCTATGTGTGTCAGAAACCCAGACTGTTTTGATCTTATTTTAACTTAACCCTTGTTCCAATTCTTCTACCAATTATTTGCATGTAAGTTATTGTTCCATAGGCATCTACATGTAATGGCTTCCCAGAGAAACTTTGTTTTTTTTTTTTAAATGTATGATTGTGATGTATTTTCTGTTTTCTGTAGTGTCACCTTTATTGTTGTTATCTTTATGATTTGTGTGTAATGTTGCAATGTCTGTTAGTCTGTCCTTACTGTGCTGTTCTCTCTGTTTCTAACTATTGTAAAGTGTCTTTTAAAAGCGCTTATAAATAAACTGTATTATTATTATTTTGTTGTTTAAGCATACATTTTTGACATGTGACTCGACTTGGCACCACAGATTAATACATCCAATGTCTGTCAGTAGGGCTGCCACTCAAACATTTTCATTATCAAGGACTCTTTTGATTTGTCCATAAATCACTAAAATGTCTGGTCTGTAAAATGTCAGAAATCATAAAAGACGTGAGTGTTTCCAAGAGGAGTAAAGAAACCATAAAATATTCACATTTAATGAGCTCAAAATACAGAATCATGAAACTCATTCATTAAGACAATAATGGGCTTTTTGAGGTAGGTGGTGGTTAATTGAAATGTTGTCAACTAATTAACATATTGTTACATCACTCACTGCTGCTCTCTGTTGCACATTGTGGAAAAAGTGACTCCATAAAATGATTCTTTATTTAGATCATAGGAAGGCCTGGTGTCCAAATGTGTGCAGAAGGTTGATTGCATTTTCAGCGGACCACACAGTTGTTTTTAGAAAACCCAAATTTATGGGTTCAAACATCCCCACGGAAGTGTCCTTGAACGTCCGCTCAAACTTTTCTGTACTCTGGATAAAAAGACAAAACAAAACACTATGAATATTACATTTTATTTCAGAGAGTGAAAAAGGTTAAAGGTTTTCCTAAAATAATCTTTGAATGTCAGCGTGGAAAAAGAGCATTGTGGCTGTAGTTGGACAGTAAAAGTTTCCAGTGAACTGAAATGAATTATCTCTGTACTCTGGATCTAATTAAGTCAACTACACTAAAGACCTGAACCAATGCCTCACTGTCTGTCTCTGAGACGTCCCTCATGAATGAACCAGCAACTGAATGACTACTGTAGTGTGTACTCGTATACTTTTCTATCTCTAGTGGAACTTCAGACTTTCCTCTTTACTTTACTCTTGACTCCCCCCCCTTGCTCTTTGTCATTTCTGAGCCCGCAGGATGTATGACAGTGTGGCAGGGCTTTTTAGACAATGTCAAGGTCAACAAAATGCACACAGAGACACACGTATAGACACACAGGATGTCAGTGTTGAACATGAAAACAATTATTTGTTTAAGTTTAAAATGTCCAAACTGCAATAACAAATTGACGAGTTGTGGTGTAGGAACAAGAGACCACTCGGGAAACTCACAGTGCTCAGAAGGCTGGCTCTGAGGTAGACTTTATGAATGATATGTTAGTGTGTAAAAGATCTCCTCCATGTCAGCTGTTGCAACAGGCGGTAAGCTAAGTTCCAAACTGACTGCATGATTGCTGGCACACGTCTGTGTGGCTGTGTATGGCATGTGTGTGTTAAATTGACATTTGATGCATTTAGTGTAACAGCATAAGAATTTTCATCATGTTAAGACTGCAGAATGGGCTGCTCTCATATTCAGAAGACTTCGCCAAAGGATGATTTCTCACCCTGCAAGTGCAGATAATTTAGTCTTTTGTATTTGTTGTGTTTTTCAGTCGTGATGGAGCGACTTGTGAACGAGCTGGGCTCTCTGCTGAAGATGCTGGACCACGAGACGGTCAGTCCTGCCACTTCTGAAAAGATGGCCTCCATACGTAACATCCTGGACTCACTGCAGCTGTCAGGTAAAGACTGAAGTGTCAGATATAGCAGACAGTAGTGAAAATAAATACCTGGGGTCTTTTTTTCTTTTCTGACTGAATTAAGGAAGTACAGTGTTTTCCAAACCTTCCAAAAACATAAACTCAGTCTCTGTCTGTAACTTTGTGATTCGCTGCTGACTGTTGGACCAGATGTCCATTGGAATAGAGTTTTTTTTTCCCCATCTCAATTCTCGAGTCCCTCAATTAAACAACTTTTATTCGTGAGGGGAGGAGTCAGCCGGCCGTCCCGGCGATGTAAACAAACTGAAAATATGACTCGGAAAACTCTGAAAGCATCACAGACAGTGGGACACAGATGTTACACCCATTGTAGGTTGTAACCCATTGTTATTTTCAGAGGATATACTTGATTTCTATTATATTTATGTGTGAAAAATCGCATATAAAGCCTTTAAATAAAGGCTAAATAGAATACAATAAATACATTAAACTGACATTTCTGTGCTCTTGCACATTTTGCATTCCTGCTGTTTCATTCTTCTACAGGAACAAAAAAACAGATTTGTTTGTCAACTGCATTAAGTCCAAAGCACAACTTTTTAAAGACGTTTGAATACTTACCCCAGAAAATAAGATACCAGACTATGGTCCATACAGATCTTATTTTTTTGGACTATCACCAGAACCTATTGTTAAGAGAAGCTATGACTAATGATTTTAGATAAATAATAACATTAAAACAAACAATAATGTTGGGTAACAGACATCTTAACATAAGTCAGCAGTACCAAAAGTCAACAGTTTGGTAATATTTAACTGTCAAACGAACATGTGTACTGTTCAAGGCTAAAGTTTAAACAGGTGTTGCCATAGAGGCTTTTTAGTATGGGCCGACAGCAGTAGAATGATGTAATGTTTATTTTTGGTACAGTTCTGGGTCATGTGATTGGTTCCTTTATAATTGGCTGATACACAAGTCTAGCTATCTTAATCATTAAGAAGAAGATATACTTCATTAATCCCACCAGGGCAATGTTATTAAAAATGTCTACTCTTCATTATCATCACAATGAGCCTGAATTGAGTCTGCCCTCGAACAGCAGCTCATTTAAAGCTGTGGTAGGTTTGACACAAACAGTTCAGTATATATTTAAAGAAAAACAAAACACGTCAAAAGTCAAACATTTAACATAAAATTAGAATGAAATAAGATGGTGACTTTGATTGGTTTCACAGGATTTGAGAGAATGATTTTTCAGCTGCTTCACATTTATTCTATGTGACACTTTCTGCAGTTCAGCCAAAACTTCTCTGATCCAACAATTTGAGTTTGCAATAACAGTGTTTACTTAGACAGGGACAGAGCATCTTTTTTCTGCTATTGGCAACAATGCTGTCATGAGCCAAGTGCACTGCACTGAGACTGCACTACACTGCCAGTACTTCAAAGTGGCTCCTTGTTTATCTGGGAGAAAGCAGGATGCCAGTGAGGTTAAAGGGATTGAGGTAAGAGGATAATTAAACGTTAAGTCTGAAGAGGACGATGAGAGGAGGTCAAAGAAAGTAAACATGTAAACATGTCTTCACAAGTCTTTGAATGGACTCATGTAGTCCCTCCCAGACTCGCGCTTTAGAGTTTGACACATCACAAAAATATATTCCACATCAATTCAGCTTTTTATATCCAAAAACTTTAGTCTCTTTTTTTCTACACTGTGTCTAACACACTTTCAGAAATCTATGTGGGTTAGGAAAACTTTCACACGCACTTCGTGACTTCAGTTATCTTTGTTCTTCTGGTACAAAGATTTAAAGGCTCCAGTCTGCACTCTCTCGCTGTCCGACTGACATCTCCACACGATTTATTTGTCTCTTAAGTACTGATACTCACAGAGATCTCACTTGGGCTGTTTGCTGCTTCTCTGTTCACTCAAGTAATCCTTACTCTCCTGATCTCAGTAAAGAACACAATCCTAACCCTTGCTTTGATCCAATTTCTAACCCCTACTTTATCCTTTCCACAGTCAATGGATCAGACGTCTACATGAACAGCTGTCTCTATGGCAACGGGACCAGTTTTGTCGAGTCTCTGTTTGAGGATTTTGGTGACTAGACCTTTTTTAAAGCACAAAAAAACTCTCATTCTCATTTTCATATTTAGAATGAGCATATCCACAAAATATAATTTAATCAAATATATTGTACTTTATGATAATCTTCCTCCAGACTGTGATTTGCACATGCTCAGTGCATCTCCTGTGGAGCAGAAAGAGGACAAAGAGGAAGAGGAGGAGACCCATCTGAATAAATCTGTAAGTTGTTTACAGTATCTACATGCTGGACTACTTGCCTTTTTTCTTCCTTGAAACAATAACTTCTAAAAACTTTCCCCACCTCAGACTCCGACAGACACGCCCCCTCCACTGCCGACCACCCCCCTCCCTGATGACTACTATGAAGAGGCTGTTCCTCTCGATCCTGGATCCACACCTCAGTATTTTACCACCAACATGAACAGTTCTGTACATTTCTGTAGCGTTTTTTTTTTTTTTTTACTTATAGTAATTTTAACCACTAAGAAGGCTCTTTTTCTCTAGTGTATTTTCTAAACTGGATTAATCTGCTCTCCTCGTGTAGCATCCAGAAACTCTGTGGAGGATGCCTACTATGAAGATGCAGACAATAACTATCCCCTCACCCAGATTAATGGACCTCCAAAAAACTCCTGTGAGTCAATACCCCCTCTTGTATAAAATCATGCTAATGAAGAATCGAAATGGAGGAATGTTCTGATTGCAAATATGATAGAATACCCGAACATGTTGTATGTTGGTAAATTAATCATTTTTTTTATGTTATTTCCGTTATCAGACAATGACTCTGATGCTCTGAGCAGCTCCTACGAGTCTTATGAAGAAGAGGACGATGAGGCCAAAGGGCGGGACCAGAGGGAGGAGAGCTCAGATGTGCCAGTTAGAGACTGTCGCATCTGTGCCTTTCTGTTACGAAAGAAACGCTTTGGCCAGTGGGCTAAACAGCTAGTTGTTGTCCGAGACAATAAACTGCAGGTAAATAGAACTACTTATGGATAAATATTAAAACTTTTATTCAAAAGATAAGATATATGGTGTTAATTTAGCTAAATACATATAAACATAAAATGACTTACTTCCAAAATAAGCCTTAATTTGGTGCATCAGGGTAAAGGATTCTGAATGGATCTCTACTTCCACAATGTTTTGTGTAGAAAATTTGTTCAGGCAATTAATCTATACAATCAGAGTACATTGGGACTGCATGACATGAGAAAGATTAAAAAAAAACAGAAATGAATTAAACATATAACATAACATCTCAGGAATGAAAAGAGAGAAAGAATATTAAACTAATTTATTAAAAAAATGAAGAAAGAAAAATAATGCGAATAAAATTGTTATTATGATTGTACTGGGAATTTGTTCTCCTGTTGTAGAACATTCTTAAGTCATAAATGAGAAGTTATCTTATATTGTTAGATAAACTTGCTCTGATCATTGGTCAGATTACACACAGTTACTTTCATCTGTTGCTAAATCTCAAAAACAGGGAAGCTCTTTCAGTATTTTAAAGTGTACCTGTGTCAAGCTTAAGAAATCTTTGTTCACCTACACCATCAGGAGAAAAAATCCTGAAAAAATGATAAAGCTTTGATTTTAGTTTCAGGGATGGATCCAAAAAAAAACAAATTTGCTCGAAACATTTCAAAGGTAACATTTTAGTGCCAGAGTAAAGAAACATCAAATGATACTTGGTCCATTTGTCCATATCTCTCTTTTACAGTGCTACAAGAGCATCAAAGAGAGCACTCCTCAAACAGAGCTCCCGCTGAGTCTGTGCAATGTCATCTACGTCCCGAAGGAGGGGCGGAAAAAGAGACACGAGTTACGCTTCTCGTTGCCTGGGGGTGAAGCTCTGGTCCTGGCGGTTCAGAGTAAAGAGCAGGCCCAGCGATGGCTCAAGGTACCATTTATTCAAAATATGAGACAGCTGGAGCTGGATGTACAAGAGAGGGGACACAGACCATTTTCTTTCTTTGTAACCAGGTGGTGCAAGATGTCAGCAGCCAAAGTAGCTACACTGATGGACTGGAGGGGTCCACCTCTCCGATTATACAGAGGAAGTTGGAGCTTGACAAGGTGTGTGTGTGTGTGTGTGTGTGTGTGTGTGTGTGTGTGTGTGTGTGTGTGTGTGCGTGCATGTATCTTAATGTTTTTCACTGACATGTTCATCAACTGTGTTTTCTTTGCGTTTATCTTTAGCTTAGTTAGTCATGAAATGTGTCCACAAACTAGTCACAATCTTTAATTCGGCGGGTCCTCTCTTTTAGTGAGAGCTTTACTGTACTGTTAAGGTCATTTTTGTCATGCATTGAGTTTCTTTCTGAATCCATACTCTAGTTTTTAAATGGCTATATAAGTCGCTGACATCACCCCTTTCAGCCCATGCATGACACAACTGTTCCCTTGGCTTCGAGTTGTAAGCACTGTGTGGTTACATTATTGCAGTCGCTGAGCTGGCAGTTTTTCAAAGAGCTTCAAACACTCTACAAAGTTTTTTCGGCAACAAGCTGAATGAGCGGTGACATGGCAGTTATAAACTTGGAAGGACAGTGATGAAAACATTTGTTTTAAGAAACACCTGTGTCATTTAAGCTGGCATGTTTTTGGGAGATCCAATGACGGATAACGTTTTTTGCAACATACCTCTTTTATTCTTTACAAAAAGTAAAGACAAGTTATATATGTTTCTACTATGTTAACAGATTCTGCACTGTGAAAGGCAGGCGTCGGACTCGGACAGCGGGCCAACAGCAGAAAACCAGTTCACTGCACAGGGACCAGGGCGGGACTCCACTGACTCACTCAGTAGGTTAACCATAAAAAGTAACAATAAGTAAAACACCTTGAATGAGTGTATACATTTACACTTAAACACTGAAATAAGCTGAGGCTTCTTTTTTTTACATTTAGAATAATCTGTTCTAGAATGCAAAATTCTATTGTAGATTAAGTTGGCAAAGTGAGATTTTACATCATTGTGTGTTTAGGTGCGATTGTTTCCAACAGAAACTAAATGTAACCTGAGTCTTATAACTGCAGTTAAGCCAATTATGCCTTTTTAGATTTACAGTGCTTGGCAGGAGCAAAACCTCACAAGATTAAAAGTATAAACATTAAAGACATTTTGTGTTACATACTTAATGTCAACAATACTCCCAAATAAATGGAGTAAACATTTAAAAAAAAAAATACATAAAAACAAAATCACTCATAAACACTGGAAGAGAATTAAATGTTCCAGGTGAGTTAACATTTTTTTTTACAGTAATCCATGTTTCCTTTAGCGATGGGAGACAAACATTTAGTTAGCACATTACTACCTTCACTTACATCTCCTTTACCCTCATATTTAGAGCGTATTTGGAGAGTGCTTAAATGAAAGGATTTGGCCTCAGTCAAGCATAACAAAATAATCAAGTGTTCTAATAAGCTAAAAAGTTCTCCCTTTACAAACAGTCCTCACTCTCAGGATATTTACATCAAGGCCCCACTAGGACACACACGCACAAGTACGCACAAACATATCACACACTCTCCGCTCTATAATCCACTAATTCAAGGTTAAAGTGATGTTGTGTCACAATATAGGTCAAACACAGACGTGTTGTTTGTGTTGTTACAGTTTGTTTACTGACTGAGCGACTCTGAACCTTAAGAGACATGAGAGAAAGAGAAAGAGAGAGAGTCAGGAAGTGAGGCTCAAACAGATATGACATCCTTCCTGTCTTTTTCCTGCGATTGTGTCTCTCTGACATCATAGGAAGTAGGCTGGACTGAACGCTACAGCACCTGGTACATGCAGTATGAACACTCAAGGGATCGGTTGAAAAATAAGGATTTTAAAAAAAAATTAAATATAATATGAATATTTGTCTTCCAGTGTTTTCAAGTGATTTTGTTTTTAATGTATTCTTTAAACATTTACGTCATTAATTAGGAAGTATTATTGACACAATTTATGTAACACAGAAACAGCAACGTTATCTCTTTTTAATGCTTGTTCTTATACTCTTGTAAGGATCTGCTGGTCTTTGTCTTCCTCCATTTTATGTTTTATATTTAAACTTGATACCTGTATTATCCTGTCAGCTAGATTTCTCAGAGTCAACAAAGGAAGTACCCCAGCATGTTGTGTATTTGTAGGGCACTAATGGGTAAACTGTCTCTGCTCTGGAGTCTCTTTGTCACCAACATCTCGAGCTATAGTACCAGATCTCATGACTGGGTCACTGTAAAATCAGTGAGCTGTAGGACTGAATAAGGGAAGGGTGCCTTCAGTATTGCAGCACAATTTAAGTGGTTTAAAGATAAGTGCTTCATGACACTCTGACCCCATTTTCAGCCCCAGCTCCCTCTGACTAGGATATGTTTGATCTCAGACAGGGGGAAACGAGGAGCTTTCTCTGAACTGACGGGGTCGATGAGCCGAGCTGCAGGGAAGAAAATCAATCGGATCATCACTTTCTCCAAAAAGAAACCTCCTTTACCCGGAGAGCCTCCCTCGTCTTCCAACCATCATGACAACCCACGCTGTGGTGAGGACACAAATTGATATGAAAGCTATTTGGTTATTTCAGTTGAACTTTTATATGAATGTCTAAGAACTGTCTCATAAACAACACCATCCTGTTAAATTAATTACATACTTAACAATTCAGAATGAGCTCGTTTGAATTGTTCAAATACGCACAAACTTTATGAATGCTCTGAAAGAACAGATTGAACAAACAGGACCTCTTGTTACAATTCAGCAGACTTTACATCATACAAACTAAAGTAATGTGCAGATGAATGACACTGAACTTTGATTGTAAAGAACAAACATACGTCTTTCAGTGTAGAAAGTTATTTTTTTATAATATTGAATAACTTGAAGGGAAAAAATATATAATTTAAAGCCTAACTTCGCCATCACCGTGCTGGAGTGATTAGAGTTCAGCTTTAACTGACTGCACTAAACATGTCTGCCATCTATGATTACTTCAACAATTCTCCTCTCTCTCTCTCTCTCTCTCTACTCAGGCTACCTCAGTGTGTGTCTGAGTGGCTCCTGGAAGGAGCGATGGTGCGTAGTGCGTGGTGGGAGCTTGTGCCTGCTGAAGGACCCCGGGGACCAGCGGCCTCCAGTTGTTGTGGTGCCACTCAAAGGTGCAGAGGTGGTGACCGGCAGCCTCGGCCCCAAACATCCTTTCTCCTTCTGCATCCTGCAGGGAGGCAGCGAACTTGCATCTTTGGAGGTACTTCATTTTGGTATCAAAGATCTCAAACAATGAAATAAGAGAACTATGCAGTTGACTATACAGTTATTTAAACTTGACAGACGAGCAAAATGTCAGCCCAGATTTGCACAACAACACACACACTCTCAGCCTCACACTATTTTATTAACACTACATACAGTGTTTTGCGAAACACCAAACACACTTTACTATGATGATACACATCATTCAAAACTGAAAGCATGTGTGTGTTGCTAATAGAGCTGGGTATTTCTGACAACCCCACAATACGATACGTATCACAATACAGAGGCCATGATACGATACATATCGTGATATACATTGATTTAGTTAATGACCATGTACTACAGAATTCGCTACAACAGCTGTTCTTCATTGTTGAGTAGAGCAACAGCAAAGGCGTAAGGATCCTACAACTTAAAACACTTCAATTCTGGTCCTTTTGAGCACAGCACTAATTGCTAAACACTGCCAGTGAAACACCTCACTCAACCAGCAATCACCTGCTCTCAGAATGTAACTGATCAGATCACACAGAAAGCAGAGCTCAAACACCATGAAAGGGGTCAGGCTTGCTCTGTAATGTGCACAACAATGGAAGACCATTTTGACGAAAAAGTTAGAGGAAGAGGTTTTCTAGCAAGAGGAGGATGAAGAAGAGGAGAAAGATCAGAGACAGGATTGACGGTAATTGCAGTTCTGAATATTTTTAGCCCAGTGCATTTAGTTTTTGTCTTTCTTTTTTGTGTTCAAATTTGTGTTGTCATATTTGTTTCATATTTGTGTTTGTAGTTACAACATTCTATGAATGAATATGCTTAGTACGGAAGAGGATTAGGGCCACACATAAAAAAAAAAAAATAGAGTTCTGACTTTATTCTCAGAATTCTGACTTTAAACCCAGAATTCTGAGAATAAAGTCAGAACTCTATTTTTTTTTTTAAATGTGTGGCCCTAATCCTCTTCCGTAGCTTAGCATATATCATTAGAAAAAAAAAAAAAATGTTTAATTGTTTTCAATATAGCACAGCTGTGTGCAGCTGGTGGTGGAAACATCTTATTTTGTTTTTGTGTGTAAAGTTTTGCAGCAAAAGTATAATATTTAAAATAGTTTATATAGTTTTAAATGTAGTTCTTTGCAAGAGATGTGGGATGTTTTGTAGTTTGTGTAAATGTTTTTGGGTTCATGTGTAGAGTTTTGACAAACAGGGCCCTAATCTAAGGAACTATGTTTATGCAATAGTGAAAATAATAGTGTAATATAGTGTATGTTTCATGACTCTTTTTGAAGCATTTAGGACACAAGTGAGACAGAATGATCATGTGTGCACTGGAGCGACACACCTACTGTATGATGAAATAAAGTAACTGTTTTTGTGTTTCTGTGCGTGTGCGTGTGTGCGTGTGTGTGTGCGTGTGTGCGTGCGCGTGCATGTGTGTGCGTGTGTGTGCGTGTGTGTGTCAGGCCAGTGGCTCAGAGGATCTTGGTCGCTGGCTGGGTGTGTTGTTTGCAGAGACAGGCATCACCACTCTCCCTGAAGAGCTGCACTATGACTACATTGACGTGGACACGATAACTGACATCCGACATGCTGCCAGAAACTCCTTCCTGTGAGTCACTTCCTGCAGTGTGTGTTTCTGCGTGAACTTATTTGGACTTCTCTGTCTCTTATTGTGGCTTTTATCCTGAAATACATCCGTCTCTGCCTCTCTGTTTTTTTCCTCTCAGTTGGGCCACCACCACTGCTACTTCGTCCAGCAGTGCCTCGACAGACTCCAGGATGTATGATGAAGTCTATGAAAGTGTTGCTGTGAGGAAACTAGTAAACTAGAGATCAAATATAATATCAATGGAGCTGTGTAACATGTTCAGTTTCAGACAGATCTCAAAGATTGACTTCTGTATGGTGGCCTTAAGGTCCAAACACAAAACATTTCATAAAACACAACTTAATAAAAAAAAAAGAAGAGAAAAACACACATTATTTCACAAAACACAAAGACATTTAACCCTTTTCATGTACAGTTTTGGATTAAAATGCATTGAAAGAAATTTACCATTAAAATATTACCCTTTTTAATCTGGTTTCCTGCAGGAAGGGGAAGGTGATGCAGAGAGCAGAACTGGACAGATAAGACGTCATGCCTCCTTCTCAAGTAGGGACTCTGAAAAAACTGAACAACAGGCTGCCGTCAAAAGACACGCCTCCAGTAAGTTTTCTTTAACATCATCATTTATTATCCTGACTACATGGAAATTATGTGCTAGAAGATGTTGCTTAAAAGTTGAGTGATTTTTGCCTCAGTCTTCTCCTGATTATGACATTAGGATTGCGGCGAAAAGAAAAAGTTCCATTTCTATTTTCTCTTCTTTTATTCATCATGTGCTGTGTGTTCTGTTAGATGTGAATCAGTATGCACGGTACGGGAAGACGCGTGCAGAGGAGGACGCCAGGCGTTACCTGAACCAGAAAGAGGAGCTTGAGAAGCAGAAGGAGGAGCTCAGAAATGCTCTGATTTCACTCCGCAGGGAGAAGAAGGAGGTGAAGGAAGAGATGAAGAGCAATGCAGGTCAGAGAAAAAGCACGAACACACACACACACACACACACACATATTTATTCACACACAGTGATGTTGGACTCGAGCCTTGTAGCAGCACTAACTGCGTTCGTCTCTGTGTGTATTTCCAGGTCATGGTGTTGAACAGCGGTTAGCCAAGCTGGAGTTGCTGTGTAAACAAAAAGAGGAGGAAAGGGTGGAGCTGGAGCTCAGACTGACAGAGGTCAAAGAAAACCTAAAGAAGTCATTGGCTCGAGGAGCACTGGGTCCGCCCACTGACACCAAGATCAGCATCAAGGTGGAGAAAATTCACAACTTTATAGGCATAATATTTTAACAAAAACTTTTCAATGTATGTCTCTCTTTCACTCTCCTCCTTTACTTAAGGTAAATCCTAATGATAACATTTGTTTTATGTGTATATCTCCTATATACATGTATTTGCCTTTTCTTCCACCTGAATGCTAAATATGAAGCTACAGCTGGCAGCCAACTAGCTCATCATAATGACTGCAAGTTTACAATGTGTGCAAAAGTTAAAAACATCTGTCTACTAGCACATACAAAAACAACAAGGTGTTCTTTTACAACAAATAAGGTAGATAGATTGTTTCTAAACTGTGGGCAGTGCCCTGAGTTTCTTCTGGTTACATAGCAACTTCACATTTATGATTTTGAGAGGTGCTTTTGGACAGTCAAGTATTATTTAAATGATGGTAAAGTTTTTTTTATTGTGTCTGTGTGTGTGTGTGTGTTTTACAGGCACAGGGCAATAAGGTAGAAAAGGTATACAATGAGACTGTACCGGTCAACTCAGCGTCTGAGCTTCGAAAACGCCCTCCATCTCTTTACGCCTCCTCAAAGGGGACCGTCATGCAGAAGGCAAAGGTAAGCTGTGCATGCCTCTCTGTTGGTTTTCATATCGACAGCCTTAAAAGATGAAATGTCAACTTTGCAAAACTTGAGAGATTCTCTTTCATTGGGATGAAATATTTAGGATCATAGACAGTTTGTGCAGGGTTTTTTGTGGATATATGTGTGAGAGAGTGTGATGAGGACGGACCAACATTTTTCTCACTTTATGTTGTGAAATGACTTACAGGAGTGGGAGTCGAAGAAGGGGACCTAAACCGTGTAAAAACGGATTCACAGATGGATTAATGGAGAAACTGAGCTGTTACTGGATGATGTTTTAAAGAAGAAACAGATGAAGATCAATATAAAGGGCACTGAGAAGATGAAGGTGATTAAGAGAAGATGGAGGAGGGGGAGGAGAAATGGGGAAGGAGGACAAACCCTAACACAATCTTCCCTCTCTTGCAATGAAAGAAAATGAGGAATATTTGCAAGTACAGGCTGCATGGTGCTGTCTTAAACACTATATTATGTTGTGTATATGTACAACACATTTGACTGATGTACCAACACAGTATTATTGTGGATCACAAAGAACATGAAGTCTGCATGTGTGTTTACATTTTGCACAGGGCTGCAGAAATAAAAAAAAGTGTATTTTTCAGAGAAATACAAAGCAAAGGAAGAGGTTCATTATGACTGTGAGCTCAGAATTTCTGATTTTCACTCACTGATTTTATTCCCTTTTTTAAGGATATTTGACAATGAAAATTAAAACTAGAGGAAATAAATTACTTTTATTAACTTATCTATAGTAGTGAGAGCATATCATACATATGGTGGATGTATTTCAAACAGTAGGAAAACATATTGAGTATGACACTTCTTGAAACCAAATAGTAAATGTTTATTATTCTAATGTGAAACTATTGGTTTTGAAACATTATGTGTATTTTTCATATTTGCCTTTTGCACTTTAACTTGTTGTATTTTGTAATTATATTAATGTCTTGGAAATTAGACAAAGCACCCGAGTAAGCAGAATAATGTTAGGATAAATATCTGCCTCCTCCCTGTTCTTGACACCCATGTTGGAGTAAAAGATGACTTTATGAAGAAACCTTTGCGTTTTGTTACTGTCTCATTTTGTGGGTCATTCTTTCTTTTTTTAACATAATGACAATTTTTTCAAGTCTGTCAGCTTCTTCCTCTCAATATAAAAGTAAACTAAGAAATCAACAGCAGGATCAGAAATCTGCACTTGAAGCGCCATCTAGTGGTGTGTTGTGTGTTTAGAGCCGTCTCATGACTGTCCGCTATTCATTTTTATTCAGGTGAAGCTGCACCAGCTGCAGTATATGTACATTACATACAGTACTTAAAACTCTAAAATCTTTTTACAATGTTTGGTCAAGTACAAATTTATATTTCCGATGATTACATTTTGGTCTCCCTTCAACACAATGGACGTGAAAGGAGTATTATAATGTTGTATATAGCACAGTCTGCATGCAGAGAGAGAGAAGTATTACAAAACAAAGTTTTCATTATTAAGCCTTACTTAAAACAAGTGCACATTTGACTTGAGCAGTAAAGCAGCTGCTTTAGACAGACAGTTTCCAGTTTTATTAAAAAAGAAAATACATGGCATTTAATTACAACATCATGAAGACAAAATAAACAAAACAAGTCAAAGACACTCTGAATTTCTTTAGAAATAGTTTATTTAGTGCATTTCTAGTTTGTCCACAGTAGGAACCAAAATATTAAGTAAATCTGTGCTCGCATTGGTTAAACTGGTTCTGGTTCTGGTCCAACACCATTGGTCCACTCATGTTCTGGTGCAATACTATTGGTCCAGCAGTGTTCCCACTCCTCTCATAGGTTTATAAGTTCACTAGTGTTCTGGTACGACACTGTTGGCTCACTAGTGTTCTCTTTTGGTCAGGAACACGTAAGACCAGAAAAAAAAAAAGGACCCTCGGCATGCTGCTACTGAGCAGGGGTCCACAAGCTTCCATGCAACAACAAACAAACAAACAGCAAGGGACAACAACAACAAACGGAAAGAGAAAAAACAGCATTGCTTGTAAGAAGTAAGCATGGAAGCATATACAGTAAACCTTTTTTTTTAACCTGCTAAAGCCCTCAGGTGGTTTGTCTGATATACAACAGATCTTAAAAAGGTAAAATCCCCCCCCCCCCCCCGCCGCCCCCCGACCCGGACACATGCGTGCGCGCACACTCGCTCTGGTTTGCCCACACACACAACACACAACACACACACACGCTCTCACACAGGCGCACCTGCATGCAAACAAATGATCAGTCCTTGTAAGTGTACAAGGATACGTTTGTCATTTTTAAAAATTATGACTTAACCCCATGAGCTCTGTGTAAACATAGCATACGGTAGATTAGATAAGGACTTCTTTCCTTCCTTTGTCGCTGTCTATCTCTCCTGCCTCCTGCCTCAGCAGTAACTTAGTTAATACTTGTACTCTTTGGTTCTCTGTAACAGTCTGTTTATCGCACTTATGTGACTGACTGACTGACTCTATCTATCACGCTGTTTTGTAAGACCTCGCTCCCTTGTTCTCTCTGGTTATTATACAGCAGGAAGAGGAGTCGAGGGAAGAGTTCTGCAGGTCCTGTCCCTCTGCAGACCAGAGCGGCAGTGCCAGGTCGATTGATTGTCCTTGATTTATTTACATCACAGTCAGTCACAGTGGGCTCCGTGAAGTGGAAGAACACATTCCTGTCCTCGCTTCCTCCTCCTCTTGCCCCTCACCAGCTTGATGTGTGGGCATGTCGGCCTGAGATCTGTAAGTGTGCATGTGTGTGTGAGTGTGTAGGTGTATGTGTGAGTGTGCGTGTGAGTTGTTAGGGGCTAGGATAAGTCATTGGTGCTGGGCGATTTCCCTCCTCCGTTAAGTATAGCCGACGCGCTGCGGCTCTTGGTTGGTGTGCCACTGCCTGACCTTGAGAGTTCTGTCAGGTCATGGAGAGACGGCTCCCTATACATGGCCACTGCACGCACACACACAAAATACAAGTTAGAATTTTCTCAACTGACAGGACTGAATAAACAACACTGAACAAAATGGTTATTTCAGAAAGACAACATATTCCTTTTCTGTTCTTAAACCTTTAATACCAAATTATGTTTTGCCTTTTTGGAAGCATAGAGAGCAACCTGTAATGGAACAATCATATTTATCACCTTTTTAAGGAGAAGTGATGAATTTAGCGGCCCCTAGCAGCAACCTTGTGTACATAATCAAACTGATAACTGAGAAACATGATGGCACTGAATCTTCCAAAATAATGACTGGTCCTCTCTAGAGTCAGTGCTTGGTTAGTCTATTATGGGCTACTGTAGAAACATGGCAGTGTGACAAGGCATACAAAGTAGAGGAGGACCCGGTTGATAAAAGGACTTCATAAGAAAGCAGTGGTTCGCAACTGGTGAGTTTCATGTCCTCTACGTCTTGTAACCTGCTACTGGATGCTTTGAATTTCCCTCAGGATCAATAAAGTATCTATCTATCTATCTATCTAGTGGTTGGGGACCCAAAAGTGGGACGCAGAACGATTTTCAGGGGTCGCCAATGTGTGCCCGAATTTTTTCTTTTCTTTTTGCAAAAAAAAAATCTATGATGTGATTGATTGACTGATGGTTTCAAAACATGTTTGTTTTGTTCTGTCTTTCTGTTCTGTCACATTGTGTTCCATCTGAGGTCTAAACTGCATTCTTTTTCATGAAATAAATCGGACTGGGTCCTAATTTCCCATTAAGGAGGTGGTGGTGGGTCCTGAGGCTAGACGAGTTGAGAACCACTGATAAAGAGTAACAAAAGATGAACTATTTATATTTTCAGGTGCTTAAATATAAATCCAAGAATGCTAAATTCATCAATACATTTATTTGTCCATAAATCTCACTGACTGGTCCGTTAAGATGGAACCTTTAAAAAAGTCTAATTACACAACCAGCAGGTTTGGAGCACAAGTAGAATTCATTTGCAGTCCTGTTTGTGTCCATCTAATGAATGTAAGTCCAATAATTGCTCTCTTTGGCTTTGTTTGTGTGCCTACTATCTCCTTAGGGAAATATCTGGCTGTTTAGATGCTAAATGCTACACTGACTTCACCAGCTCTCTTACTCTTGTGCTGTCTGCTTTTTAGTGTCGAGCAGGCAGCATATAATAGGTCTTTAGAGCCTGCCTGTAGCATCACAGTAATCATTATGAATGTTTAAATATTATTCAAAAGCAAACTGATCCGATCTCTTGGTTTTTTTAGGTCTTTTCCTCATTACTCTATTTCTAAAATCCTTTTACTCATGTACTCACAAACGGATATACAAGGTCTCTGTTGGATAAATCACATAATATAATATTACATATTCACAAACTGTGTAGGCGGTTGATGTTCTTCCAAGCAGAACATTTTGATAATGCTCGGAGATTCTTAACAGTTGATAGTCTGAGTTTTGAGTAAGCTCAAAGTAAACTGTACTCCAACAAATAGGAAAAGGTCTCAAGAACATGAGTAATACTGTTACTGATTCATTATGATTGATATGTAACACTTACATCTTGAGCACAAACAACGCATTTTAGGCAGCGATACAATTCACAGCTCCCTCAGCTATCAGTGAAAGGATTTTACACAAATAATGAGACAGAAATTTTGGTTCATCATATAAGAGGAGGCAGAATCCGTGTTTTTCAGTCTGGTTTGACGTGTGAGCGGATCTATTGCATAGATGTGGGGTAATGTATTTCCCATCCAGAGGCAGAGAGTCTGATAACTGTGATGTTTTTATTGTCATGATGCCAGGGAGATGCCACTGTCGATCAAATCTCCTCCAAGCTCACACACTGAGTCCTAATGGAGCCTATTAGTTTTCAGGGCTGAATATTTCAAACAGTAATTGAGGATGTTTGTCTTAAATTGACATCAATCATGAAAATTCATAGATCCCCTCTAAATATGCTTTAAAAGACCAGAAAACCTGTTTGTTTCCCCCCTCAGTATTTCTACTGTGGACCACAGAACATCAACAGATTGGAAAATACGAGGACAGACAAATTAAAGCAAATATTGCCACAACTTTGATTATTTCAGTGAGAACCTTTCTGCCCTTTGTTGTTGTTTTTACTCACTCATTTTAAGAAGGCAGAGCTCGGCTCTTATGCCTTATGGGTCTGTGGGGAGTAGGTATCCTTAAGAATTGCATAGAACGGTGTCTATTGAATCATGCTCCCTTTTAGAGTCTGGAAACTTTCAAGCTTGAATATTTGGGTCATGGTGTTATAAAGACACAATCTTATCAGCCCACTGCTACTTAAATAACAGAGGATCATCTCTGACCTGTTTGTTTTATTCTATGAACACAGTTGCCATGTTTTGACGAGGTGTAACAATGCATGCTGCATGAAGAAAGATGATCTCTGATTCTGTTGTACAACTTTTACATTTCTAAATTGTTGAAAAGCATCGTCTATTCTACGTTCAAGAAAGCTACTGCACTGCTTAATTTTTGGAGTACTCTTTTTTAATTTTAGTTTATAATTCCTGAAAAGGATTTTTGTTCCTTTGTTGTAACTCTGGGCACTGTTTATCTTTTACATGAATAATTCATGTCGTGGAAAAATCCTTGTTTTTTTAAAGGGAGGGTTTTTTTTTTTTTAGATTATCGGTTTTAAATTCTAATGAATCTGATACTGTACGTGTTTTATTAAGAATACATTCATTAAACTACTATCACATTTAAAACATCTCCTCTCCTGTCTATTAGTGACATACTGGGCCATGACAAGTTCACACTAAGCTGTACTCTTGTTAACCCAGACTTAAGATGAGGACAAAATCATTCTTAAATGTGAGTTTCAAACATACAGATGAAGTAACATAACAAAAAAAAGAGGAGGCCTTAAATGCCAGAGAGAAACTGTAGCGTTTTTTGTTTATAACTGTGTGTATAATTTCACTCCTAACTTTGGTTTGTCCTAGCTCAGTGATTTAGTGCTTCATCTCCTTTGTGGTCTCACCTTTGAGCGGTTTGGGTATGAAGTGTGCTGCTGCCTTGTTCTTCTTGACGTGGTTCCCCTTCATGATCCCGCCCTCCTTGTTGAGTCCGAGGTACCAGGCCCGACCTGAGGCCTGCTGCCGGTACAGCATGGAGGAGTAGGTGACGTAGTAGTTCTCAAACACCGACTCCTTGAACTTACACTCTGGGGTAAAGTGTTCCTGAGGAGATAAAAAGACACATTGAAGAACAGATCTCGAAAGACAGACGACATGAGGGTAATGTAGTAGTTGTAAAGAGAGAGAGAGAGAGTATTAGCTGCAGGGGAGGAGGAGAAAAAAAATAGGTTTGAGTTTATAATATCAACTCCATTCTAATGTTTTTAATCATTCTTCCATCAGTATATACATCCATCTCTTTGGATCATTATCTCGGCCAGGCTGGAGTCTCGGAGAACAAACTGCACCAACTTAGGACAGCTGACATTTGCATTTCCTTATTCCTGCATCTCCATGGCAACCGGCTACTCCCTTGAATACCAACCAGCCCAGTGAGAGAAGGATGGTGCCCAGGAAAGATACAGAAAAAAATACTCTTTTTCTACATCAACCATTTATCCTGTAGGCATTTTAATTAAGTTTTTTTTTGTGTGTGTGTATGATTAAAGCACCTTGTGCGTATCATTTAATATCAGATGTGAAGATTAAAAACAAGTGACATCAGTGTTGTGACTGAAGCAAGTTTTTTCCAAACATGACGGGTCAGGTTATTGTGGTTGTTTACGTGCCTGGTTGTTATTACATCGAGCTGTGTGTCATTTTTCTCCCTTCCTCTTTGTTAGTTTTCATCTTTTCGCCTTACATGCTGGTTTAGATTGCTCCAAGAGTTATTTTTGTTGATTCTCTTTTGTTATTGCTTCTACACCACCACCCACCACCACCGCTCAGGAGCTAAAGTGAAGCACTTAATGCAGCTTACTGTAGCCAACACCGCCTTCTGACCGGCCTGAGAAGATATATGCACAGCGGGGATGCATTTGTAAATCTAGCCAAAAGAAAAGCAGAAAGACACATTTCAAGGGGCTGTTTGCAAAAGGACACAGAGTAATCTTTCTATCAAAGAATATGTGTATGGAGATAAACAAAAGGAGGCTGGAGGGTGATCTGAAATCAATCCTGCGAGGCCACAGTATCAGCGGGCAGAAGAGGGAGGCTCAGACAAAAGATTATAAGAGCCTGTGGCAGCTGACTCACGAGGCAGCTCTGTAGTTAAAGTATTGATGTGATGATAGGAGGATAATGAGAGTGGTCACACTGAGAGAGGCTGCTTCATAACTCAACCCGACACAAAGACCAGGTTTTAATCTCTATTGGCTCCTAATGGTGAAGATGATAACGATGGTCGTGATGGTGTGTGACCTACAGAGGTGTAGAGAAAGCCTTCGTTGTTCATCGCCAGATACAGTTTGGTCTGGACGCCCTGGATGGCCACCACACGAAGCCCCACTGGGATCAGGTTGAACACAGCTACACACACACACACACACACAATACACACAATCAAGCACAGCAAACAAACAGGCCAGAGGGAAAAAGAGAGAAGAAAAAAATCCTCATCAATATCAATGTAGCATCTGGTTTGTTGACACCTTCATTTTGCCTCAGAGAAGCTTTATCGCAAGGCATCTCAGGGACCGAGGCTACAGAATTACACGAGTGATAAAGAGACTGGTATTATGTGTTGGATTAAAAAGATAAGAACATTCATCAGGCACGCAGCAAAGCCAGGTTTATGTATACACTTGGCAGAGGAAGGAAAAGTATCAACAGAAGAGCCAAGAGGCAGAGCTGCAGCTATTCTAACATCTTTATTTAACTATAAACCAATCAGTCACTTTCTGTTCCATTGATTTGAATAACCTTTTTTTATCAATAAAATGGAACTATAAAGACAAAAAGGTTGTTAAAATGTCCATCACTTCTTGACCAAATAATTACATTGAAGATAAAAAAAACAATTTGAGCATGGGAAATTAAAGTGAGTTTGACATTTTACTTGACGAGTGACTCAAGTAGTGATCAAAAACTTGGTAGGATATTTGTCCTACTTCACAATCAATCAACTCATCTTTTCAGAATGTGGATGAAGCTGGTTCTCTTTAAATAACATAACAAAGAGTACAGTCTACGTTGTTGTGATATGGCTCTACATAATCAAAGATAAAGAGCATGTACAGTGCAGCCGACATTTTCAGGCGTATTGACACTGTAGTGTCAAGATGCTTTAAAGAAGACAGTTTGTACAGCACAACTCAGAGACATAAGTTAGTTAAACATCGTTAAGCTGTTCGGGCTCTTATTACAGTGAACATGATCTCTGTAAACAGATATCTGCGTATGAATGCAGAATCTGTAAACAAGGGACAAAATGTTGGTATGAAGGCCTTCTGGTGTCTGTTTGTAGAAAGCAAATCGTGTTTGAGTGGGCTGCAAAACTGTCAGTGAGTGTGGAGAGCTAAAGAGGTGGAAAGCACCGGCCAAACTATAATATAAGCCCCTTTCTACATATGCACTCCTGAAAATTCATTGACATTTTAAGCACAGCCTGCATGCAACATTTTCCTAAGCTGCCCTTTCACATAATGTCCCTCACAACTGGGTATTTTTCACTGTTGGACGGGGGGGGGGGGGATGAAGTACAACAAAGTAGTACAACTATTTAATATATGTGGACATTGACATGTGGTCAGAAATTATGTTTTCTCACATTTATATGCAGCCTACCTGATTTCAAAGTCAGGGAACTAAACGAAGCAAAGATGTTAGCCCGGTTTGATCAGTGATGGATGATAAACTCAGATAGTCAGGGTGCAGGGATCCAGTTGTCTCTCTGTATTTCAGTGATCAGTTTTTCTTGTAGCTTAGTTTTCCGCAATCGTTCTATGTTTGCTGAATCTGTTTGTATAGGCCTAGTCTATCACACAGCAGCAGTTCAAATTGAGTTCAACGTAGCCAGGCTTTCTTTGAGTTTAAACCAGTTCCATTTTAGCCCCTGTTAAACTGCTGTTACCTCCCGTTTATTCTAATAAGACAACTTCACACAGTACAACACTAAACGTTATATTATTTCAGTAGTATAAAGAGGAACTGTTATCAGGTCGGATGCTCTCACTTCATGAAAAACACGTGGAAAAACTTCAGTTTCTGACAAAATAGAAGTCTGGTTAATTTACTGATTTAATTTCATCTGTGATAAATATATATGGATTTTTTATCTGCCGCTGTGAAACCAGCCGTGCTCATCAGACTTTGTAGGGTTTTATGTCTAAGCATAAAACCATGATCTGTTGTCCTTAGATGCTGAGTCATCTTCATTCTATTACTGTATCATCTGCTGATATTTAAGCTCTTAATTTTCCCTTAAAAAAACAGGTAAAAACAAGGGGAGGGAGACCAGAGTGAGCTCAGATGATATTTAACACAAACTGAATGCATGAAGGCTCTGCGATGCGATGTACACAGGCTGTATTCAGTACTACTGTTCCTGCATGGTTTGGTCCTGTGGCCTTATTAACATAATGTTACTAAAAAGACATTACAGCTCGCTCCCTCCTGATTCCTGACACCAGTACAAGCTTTCTGCCAGTCACTGGCAGTTATTGCAGTGACTCCCGCCTACTGTGACGTCATATGCGTACCCTCTAATGACAGTAAAAACAAAGCGTGTGAAAAGGATAAACAGGTGAGCATGAAATAGTATGAAGTTGGCAATAAAAATGTCCAGATAAAAAATGTGACCACAACCACAAATGCACCCCACCCCAAAAATGTGGGGAAATTTTCAGTAGAGCAGAGCATGTGTGAAAGGGGCTTCAGCTACTGACTGCAAAATCTTCTTTTTTTTTTGTTTTCATAAAAAGGTCTAATTTAAAGGATTTTCCAGAGATGTGATAAAGGATTTAAAGCGCATTTAAAGATAAACTTTGTTTGGGGTTCATCCAAAGATTACATCATAGCATTAATACTATGGATCGTATCTTTTATTTCCCCCTGTGGTTTGCATTCAGTGAGCACAAGCAGTTAAATGATTTATATGTTTTACAGTAAAAGCTCAGTAGCAGAGGCGTAATTATTTCAGACAGTTTGATGACTCACTGCCTTGTTTAATTATATTTATTTAGCCAACCATGTTTTTTATAATGACTGGTTAAATTGATACTGGATTACATGGATTACCATTTAAATCCAGTTATGGTCGGCTGGTTTTATGTTGGTGGGCGTTTACATGATGTATACACAATGTAATCATGTAATTAAAGAGGACACATCATTAGGAGCTGCTTTTTGATTGTTTTCACACAATAGTTGGTGGCCTGAGAAGTGGCAGAGATTAATGAGTGACGCTGAAAACACCAACTGTTCACCCGAAGGAGAGTGATTGCCGTCCACGACAGCAGAAGTGCATTAGCTGTATCCATCACACATTGTAGCCTGTGAGTTTTTGTGCATGAGAGAGAAAAGATTGGATATGGCAAGGGAAATGTATTGTTTTCATTGGTTCACTTTAACCTGGTCTATTTCATTAGGTCACACATTTGAACGCTGGAATGTATCCTGTGGATCCTTTATTGAGTTCTTTAACAAGGAAACATTTAACACGGATAGATTGCCACCTGACCTTTGGAGGAAAGCCTGCACTGGTTTACTAATTAAATGAACACTTGACATGTTGTCAAGTGAATGTCTGAGTTAAACCTCCACATCAGACAGATGTCCGCAGGGTGAAGTTTATCACTAAATTGGATTTGAATTGGTTTCGGATGATAACAGTAAAGTGTGCAAATGGGAATTGAACTAAATTACACCTTGCTGGATATTGAGCTTTCAACATGTTAAAATGCTCTGCTGTAGCTCTGCTGTAGAATCAAAAGAAAGGTTTGTGTCAATCTCTAGTCTACATTTAAGAGTGTTTAACTTCTTGGCTCGCCATCATTTGTTTGCCGGAAAGAAAGCACTTGTTTGGTAGGTTTAGTTTTCTAAAGCTGATTTTAGCACTAATTCATTTATTTGTTCATTGACAGAAAATTATTCTTCCATGGTAATAGTAGTTTTCATTTTTCCCGCAATTTTTCTGCACAAGAAATACCAAACATTTGCTAGTTCCTGTAACTAAAATTTGAAGATGTTATGCCTGTTTTGCAACATATTTTAGTTAATTATGAATCTTGAACTGGTATCTTGGTTTTGAACTGTTGGTCAGATAACAAAAAAAAGACATCAACCTGGCCTTGGGGCATTATGATACACATTTTTCTCAGACGTCCAAGCTTTTATAATGTTGGCAAATACAAAATCAATAATTTTGTCGAGAAAGTTATTCAAAATTTTTATCGATAGGGAAACATCAATCAAATTTGTATTTGCAACCCAAGCAATAGTTGGCAAAAAAAATTAAAAATGAGAAAAATGGAAACCTTTTGATTGACTCAATTATCATTAGCAAAGAGTGGGACTCACCATATGTGCTATCTTCATCCTTGGTCCCATCAATGGTGCCATCAGGCTGCATCTGCAGCTGGAAGCCCTGTCGACTGGAGAGCCTGGTCACAATGCCCTTCAACTGGGGCTCTGAGAGGAGGAGAGGAGATGAGAAACATTGACTGCATTCATTCCTTAATACAGTCATGTGATCATATGAACCAAAACCAGCAGTCTGCAAGAAGCCGGAAGTGTCAGAAGAAGAGAAGCCGTTTCCATCACAGCCGGGCCTTCTGGGCCTGGAATCGATCACTGGACCCTTAACAGTGTACACTGTACACTGTGGCACACACTTAAGTCCAATCTTACATTGTATAAGGTATGTAGCATAATACAAGCTCATGAATATGCTGAAGTAAGAATGTCGATTATCCAAAATCTTCATCAGCTACACACACTACTGCAATAGACCTTAAAAAAAAGTTGTTTACATGTGATGTTTGTGATTTCATGCAACAGGAGAGTGTCAATGAAGCGATGAAGGAGCAGGCTGAATAATGGGAGAAAATGGTGTTGGTTGGTGGAGGTGATGATGATGGTGCTGCTGCTGGTGGTTGTGGTGATGATGATTTGGTGGGGTTTGTTAAAGCCCATCTCTCTCAAACCTGGAGGTCGCCTTCTCTTCCGTTTCTTCCTTGATCCAAACAATTTGACACGCGAGAACACGTTCAGCTTGCTCGGCTTCTCGTTGGTGCCTTTGCTGTTGCTCGGGCTGCCGCCGCCGCGGCACGCGTTCGCCTTCTCGCGCTCCCTCGCCTGCCGCTTCTGGCGGATCAGGGAGCTGGCGATCGCCGCTGCCCGGGACATGTTCCCACGGTGGAGCGAAGCAAGGCTGTGCGTCCCGGTTGGAGAGTAAGTGGGGGTCGCGGATAAGGCGTTAGGGGGTAACGGGGTGGAGGTCTACGCCACCCACGGCTCAGTTCGCATCACACACCGTCCGCTGCAGTCTCGCAGATATCAGTGATTTTAAAAGCCGTCCAGAATCCTCCATCACCAGTGCGTCCAGGTGCTTCAAGGAAGTCGTTAAACAAATCCAGTAATGTGCCAGAGTGCGAGCCTTAACGACGCCGCCTCATGTACCCCCCCCAAAGGGTTCTGAGTTGCAAAAGCTGTCTGCTTCCCCCCTCAGGTGATTCTTCAGGCTGTCCCGGAAGAGGGGAGCTGCCTGCAGATGGATCTAGTCCCGGGTCCAAGCGGCGAATCAACAGCTTACGGACGTTGGTTTGAACGACACTGGAGCTTGTTGTTGCTGCTCACTGCAGCTGCTGCCGCTCTGCGCCGCTCCCCCGGTGCTGCTCCGTGGTTCGACGCGCTCCGTGACACAAATGCAGCAACCGGAATGTTTGTCAATGAAACAGCTCGGAGCCGGTTCAGAGAGAGGAGAGGGATCATGATGCAGCCGTGCCGTTCATAAAACTGCTGCAGCCCTCCCTGCCCGCCCCGAGGAGAAAGAAGAGAGAGGGGGTGGGTGGGGGCTTCTGATGGGATGTGTGCGTTAGGGTGTAAAAGAGGTGAATTTTGGCTGATTCTTTTTCATATGGCACCTGTAACCCTGAGCCCCACGTGGCATGATATTTACATGTTCAACCGAATACTGATGTGTGATAGGCAGGGAGATTGACAATGGGAGGAGGGGAGGGAGTGATGGAGAGGGATGTATTATAGGAGGAGGAGTGAATGAAAAAAAAACTGTGGAAAAAAAGAGAGAGAGCTAGAAGACAGACAGGTGAATGAATGAGAGTCGAAATAATGGAAAGAGGGGGTGGGGGCAGGAGAAAGAAAATGAGATATTGAGTGTGTTGTGTATGTGAGAGTGATAGAGAGAGCTTGTATAGAATATACAACCTACAAATAGATTGGGGAAAAAATAATGATGGATGAAAGAGGGAAGGACAAATCTAAGAGGCAAGCAAGCAGGAGGGCAGGAGGGAGAGAAAATGACTGAGTAGAGGAAGAAAGAAGAATGGAGATAGAGATAAAAAAGATTCATTAAAAATTAGGAGGGAAGAATGTACAGAATAAGAAATATATATAGAGAGAGAAATTGAGTAAAGAGAGAGTTGGTGAGAGTGTGAGAGAGGGAGAGAAATTGAAAATAGAGAGGGAGGGCGAAAGGAGGGGCTCTTCTCTTATTTTGGTGCAGAGGTTCACTCCTGCTGACAAGCTGCAGCGAGAGAGGAGAAGGTGAAAAACAGAGCGGCACTTCAGCGTGGATGAGTTGTGGCATTTTTCTCAATGTTCACTTAGCATTCAGGGCAGACACACACTCACACATGCATGCATGTCTACTGGCCACAGGCAGCCCCCACAGGAGACAGCTGCACAGCTGTCAGAGAAAGACAGCTACGTTGGCGCATGGCAACTGAAACTCCAAGTGGTTCTGCATGAAGAGGAAGACAAGGAGGTGGATGAAGACTCACAGCAGAGGTCGAGCTGTGAGCACCTGGCGCCCAGCAGCAGGCACAGACGATGCATGCTGTTCCACTGTGGGAAAAGTGAGGGAAAATCGATGGCTAGAGATGAAGGAGGATGTGTTGAGCAGTAAATTAGACAACTGAGGCGGAGGTGAACTCAGTGTGCTGCAGTCCACTGTGGAAATAAAGGCAGTGGTTGTAGGGGAGAGTGATGAACTGTGGACAGAAGCTGGGGTCGGGACCTGGTCACCGAGAAGGAGCCTTCTGAGAAGGTAAGCCCCATATAAATGAGCTGATAAACGTAGTTTTGTGAGATTGTGAAGCTCAAGCTGTGAAATTGCAGGGATACTTCAGCCATAAATGATTTCATAACTAATCAATTATGTCATCTAAAACATCAAAATATGAGAGCAAACCTGTTAAAACCACTGTAATGAAATGCATGAAAGCTAAGCCCTTTCCTTCATCATTCATTTATGACATCTTTTAAAACCAAACCACGTGTCCCTAAAAGCACAAGACAACACAAAATAAGGAAACCCAATTTCATTATACAAGCTGCAGGGAAAATGTACCAAATAAAACTGCAAATTCTAACCATTTGCTGTAAATTAGTAATCAAAGTATGTATAGAAAACAAGGAAATCAAAGACAAAATTGAATGATGGACCAAAACAAAGCAACAAAAAACTAGTATTACCTCAGGATTTGTTTTCAAGATTGAAAAACAATACAAAGCCTTGGTTTGCTACTGAATAAACACTTTAAAGTATTTTTGTGTAAATAAACAAATACGCCTGAAAGAATGTTGCAGTTATAGCAATAATAAAAGATACATTTAAGCTGTTGCACCCAGTGGGTAAAAACTTCAATGATGTTTGGTTGGAGCTCTTGTGCCCCCTACAGGCAGAGAGACATGTGAGGAAAATAACTTGGAGTAGAGAGAGTTAATCCTGACGCAGAAAAATAGAGTGTATTCACCACAGACACCCGGAGAGAGTCCTTACTGTATGTGTGTGGATCTCAGCCTAACCATGAAGCGATTTAGAGTTCAACCACGCTGCTGTAATTACATCAGTTACACACTTTGCAGAAACCACTGAGACTTTAGAAAGTGTTACCTATTGAAAGCAGCAAAGAACCGTATGATACATGCCTTTAAAAACCGTGAAACGGAAATATATTTACGCTTTATTTGAAATATTTTTTGGGCATCTTTGTTTAAAGATTTGAGGAAAACAAGTTAAATAGTAAGTCTTATTTTGTTAGAGGAGAAAATATGAGAACTCGCCCTGAGGGCCGACATGGAGCTTGAAAGAGAGCGCAAAGAGCTGGGCTTTGTTACAGGTGCTCTGCAGGCTTGGTGTAAATTATTTAAACAGTACTTCCAAAATATTGTTGTTGTTTTTTTTTACTCTTTAGTTCAGTAATGATTTCAAAGTTGTGAAATTTGCATTCATTCAAGATCAAATTCTACATTTCTGAAATCACTTGCCAATAATAAATCAAGCCCATCCTTTAAATGGATTGTGCGTCTATGAGATGTTATTTGATGTATTTATTTAACCGTGTGCAGCAGAAGGGCGCGCCCGGTGCTGCTTTCAGCACCATGGACAGAGCGACACGCTTAAACTCTTTGAAAACAGAAATGTAGACAACTAACTTTAATCAAACGAATTGCATGACAGACACGAAAAGATCATTCAATATTTTGAGTAAATTTTCAAGTCGAAAACTGTCTTCATCTGAAACACATGTAAAACATCTAATCAGAGATTAAAGAAGGTCCTTTTGGAGGGTCAACCTGATGATAGGTTCACCGCTCTTTCTTGCAACAGCGCACTCCCAAGATACTAAAAGTTGGCTAACTTCCCGCAAAGATTTTGTAACAGAAGACCAAAATCCCGGATTAACACTGATCATTGAATCGTTTCCCCCCGGTCCTACCTGAGGTGGCTCGTCGGAGAGGGAAAGTCATGCTGCGCCCGTGGAGGTCCGGAGCTTTGTGCTCGCGACTTTTTCGTACTTCCTGTTGTACGCTGCCCGACGAAAAGAGGAAGAATCACTGAAGTTCAAAGTAGACAATTCTCCACGGCATTGGATCCATTAAGGCCGCGCACATGGCGTTGACGGGAGATCATTACAGAACATTAGAGGCCATTAGGCCTTTGGAAGCGGTCATTAATGATTCATCTCAAGGCCCCGCTGATCTGGCACAACAAGAGAGGAAGGGAGCCAAATCTAAGGAGCCATCCAGGAGGCACAGTGCAAGCGTGTGATAACAGATCTGTTACAGTCTACCACTACAGCAGATTACCTGTCAGGAAACACACATTTCCACAGCTCTCACACAGTGAGGACTCTCTATTGGCCTCCCAACTACACCTAACTTTAACAAAGTCCCCTCCATCATGACAAAAATAATATAAAACCAAAGTCCTCCATGGCACATACAATACAGCCCATTGCTATTTTTTTTATTTATGTGTAGGACTTAACTTGTTGCAGGGTTCAATGCTGAGAAACTGTAGTAGGGAATTTTGGATTTTTTCTTTAAATGATAACAGAAAATATTCATCAAAAAGGTTCAAATTATTTTTGTTTGATGAACCAACCACTCTTAGAAGACCTCTGTAAAAGCTGCAACATGCTGGACAGGTAGGAATTTAATATGACAATCTTGTCTGCCTTTGTGATGTGATTTACTGCTAAACAAATACATAAAACAATCACGGTATCATCACCATGTGAAACCCATTTTGATTATGTTATCTTAAAGTAAAAATGAATCCTTAGTCACATTGACAGGAAAATGTGGACTCAATAAAGAACTTGAAACATATTATAGCCTGACTCATGTTTCCATTCTGAGATTATTTAAAAAGTCTTAAAGCTAAATAGCTTCAGTGGACACTAATTGCATGGTAACGCTCTATTCCCCAAAAAACATTTACCCAAACTCGCACCTTGAAAATTCTAAGAATGTGATTTAAAAATGACGTTTGGAATAGACACAAACTTACTCAGCTTCCACACATATATAAAAAACGCACACCTCATAGCTTTGCACTATAGCCCATCTCTCTGCGGTTCCTTAGGCTATCATCAGTTCACACAATTAAAGCACATTATATAGTAACCACACTCAGACAAAAGCTGTCTGTCCAGGATTACACAGTCTCTAGACAACCACACATAACCGTCTATCATGAGCCCATTACGTTGTTGTGCTTCCTGTGAAGCAGCCGGCCAAACACAACAGCATCCAGAGATGATAAAGATATTATTACAGATTGCAGAGAGTCTACAGTATATACTGCAGGGCAGGAGGCTGTAAACGTTGCAGAAGGCAGTGAAGCAGGATGTTGCTGCAGAACATGCACACTCAGCTAATTGAAAAGTGAAGTCTTTAGAAGAAGCTTTATCTGAGATATCGCTCAAAATAAATGTGCGTTATGCATTTCTGTGAGGCTACAATACAATATTTTCCAGGAAACTGTTACCATTATATAATACATATGTCATTATGTATTATTGCTTCCTGTGATCAGGAAATAACTCTATTAGATCAACCAGATGGTTGGACTAGGTCACTGTTTGAGTGCGTTTCTTTTTCTTTCTTACTTTTGGTTATCCTTTTATTTCAGCTGGACTGCAAGGCCATTTAGATTTGAACAGACACATGAGGCCTCCTAAAATAGCTTTGTGGCTTTGGCTTGAAATAGCAGACCACAAAGATGGCAGCAGGTACATTTTGGCAAAGGTCCCCAGACCAATAGCCTGGGCAGGCAGCCAACATCTTAATCATTGGAGTATTTTGGATATCATCAGCTGTCATTCACTACCGGTAATTCAAATGATCAGCCACTAGATGGCGCCACATCATCAGCTAGCAAATAAATAGTGAGTGTTGGCGATATACGCTAAGCATGTTTCTGGGCTATTCAAGGAATCATCAAAGTCTTTTTTAGTTTTAGTTGTACAGGATTTGAATGTTTGTACAAATTAATCAGAATTTTGTCTAACATTTTCTTAAAGATTTAATATTCCAGTGGACCAACATATCTGGACCCAGTCTGTTAACACTGCTGAAAAACTATTGGCTGGTGTTTTCCTCTTAATTTATATAACCTTTTTGTTAAATAAATTGAAAATAAAGAGGAAATCAACATTATGACTTTTTGCTCATTAGAAAATTTGTAGTGCATTATTGCCTGACTATATGTTGCACATACACAACACTGTATCACTAAAACTTCAATGGGCATTATGTCCAGTAGTATTAACCTCTACTGCCATACTGCCTTGTCCTAATCAGGGTTGATAAACAATAGTGTCTATACTGAATCGTCTTTTTTCTACACACACACACACACACACACGCACACACGCACACGCACACACACACACACGCACACACACACGCACACACACACGCATACACGCACACACACATACACACGCACACATGCACAACAGTTATAATCCCCGTCTACAGACCTAATCTCTTTAAGAACAAGATGTTAATGAGTTCTTGTTCTACCCAAACTTAATCCTTATTTCTACCATTATTATATACAGAACACTACAAGGTGACACATCACCCTGAATGCCTGTCCTGCCCAGAGGGAGTTTGTCATTGCTGGAGATATTTTAATCAAAAAGTGTAACAGACTTGACAAATTTTTACAACTTCTGTCTCCTTTTTGTTCCTTTAAGTAACTGACCAAGTATCTGTTTAATTCAACAAATGGAAGTGACAGTTTTTTTTTTTATGCATGCATGACTTTGTCTTGAGAGTGATTCTTCTTTAGCTCATACAAAACAAATCAAAACACTCAGCAAAGTAAACATATCTTAACAATGTGTTGCGCCAGTGTATAGATTACATTACATGTAATGAGAATATCCAGTATTGATTCATGACGGTGCTCTGTTGTAATGTTACTGCTTCAACTTAAAGGGAAATATACTTGCTTCTCTCTTACTGTAAACACTGAAAGCTGTGTCCATTAAGATGTGTTGAGTCACCAGTGTAAACTTTAATAGCAGATATCATGTCTCATAAAAGTAGTTTATTTGTGTAGTAGTTCCATATAAATTAGTGCACGGTGTGTTGGGATCCACCGACAGGGGATGTTCTGTCTGTCAGATAAGTTTATCATCCTATAAATCACTCCGTCCTGTTTATTGACTTGGCTTTGAAGTGATGGTTTGTATCCTTTAAATGTGCTTTATGAGTTAAGGTTACAATAAATAATGTTTATTACTATTCTGCTTCCAGCCACTAGTGTCAAGTGAACACACTGTGGCAATATCAATCCATAAACTGTAGGCTATGTATCATCCACACTGGCTCTATTCTGGAGCAGAAAACGTGTAAATCGTAGTAACAAAGAGCCTTTTGTCAGTGCCAACTCTGACCACTACTCTCAAATATATTTTCTTATGTAGGCTATTACATGTAGTTATTAATAAATAAATCAATTAAATACATTGCGCTCTGAAGCCCAGATTAGGGTGGATAATCAGACAAATGCTTAAAACATTTAGCTCTTCATAAGTCCTTTTTACCCTGTTGCATCTCTAACGAAAAACAACGTCAAAATACTTCTGATAGAGCACAACACTCACCTTTCTGTTGTTTGCGGAAATGTGTTTTCAATGTGAAATTGGCTCATTGATGCCCTTTGTGGCGGTTGGGGGAATTAACACCCGCCAAATGTATTTTCAGATAAAACCACAGGGGGCGGTAATGAGTCATCTTTGGTTGTACGCACTTCAAATAAGGCAAAGATGTCGCGTTTGAAAACTATGGACAAGCGTCAAGTGGCTGAGGTGTATGAGTTGAGGGTCGTGCATTAGCCTATTTATTTGTGAGGTTTCAGATAATATATGTTGCTGTAATAAGCAATACGATGGAGACCCAACACTGACTGCGCTGTTTGTCAAATGTTGGTCCTGATAAAGACCTTACCTACATAGAAGAACAGCACAAAGACACTTTCTTGAGGTAGAAGTGGCCTAACTGTTGGAGGCTAAAATCTCACTGATTCAGCGTGCAGTAGTTTATTTACTGTTGGGCTAACATTTGATGACACTTTTCACTGTCTTTCTACTCATTTTAATTTAATAAGTTGTTCACACGCTATTTGATCCTGTGTTACTAAATGGTTTCCATCTTTCACAGCTGATACTTGATTGCCTCCTTCCACGAGTAGGCTACTATTAAATGAATAATATGTAGGCTAGAGAACCTGTAGATTTGTGAAACATCTTCCCTTGTTTAATCTAACTCTTTATGTCTTTGTGTAATTTCATTATTGGGCTTTCAGTGTTTTCTGATTTGTAATTATCCTATTACTCCAGCAAACATCTCACAAGCTATTCATCTTTGGGTGTGTTTGCTGACTTCAAGTGTGTTTAGCTAACTCAGCTCATTTGGGACCTATACAGGCATACAGAGAGAGATTTACTGATAGTTTGGTTTACCGCATGAACTAAATCTGCACTTTCAATCATTGGTAAACAGACAGTGTTAATGACACCAATCGCAAATGAAGATGCTTAGGGTGAATTAGACTAATTATTATTATTATTATTATTGTTATTATTATTTTTTTAATTTTTTTTGGGGGGGATAACTATTCAATTAGCCTACCGCAATCTCAAGGATTCCACAGTATGATCCCCTCCAGATGCATTATCTAGGCTACCCATTGTGTTTTTGTTATACCAATTTTAGATAGATTTCCACCATCAAGCATTTTAGCATGTGTTTGAAATTAATTTTATTCTACTGTGACTAATGCTTAGTATATACATCTCTGTGTTTTGTTATTAAAATCCATGGATATAGCATATTTCTGCCTTTTTTATGAATGGGTACGTACGTGTCATATGCATAGATTATGATGCACACGCACTGTGAGCTTACGGGCAACACCCTTTTTGTGTCTCCATGGCAATGATAGTTTCCCAGTTTCCATTGCGGTGCAATTTTATTGCTCTCCAGAGGGAATGGGGAAAAAAAATGTGTTTGTGTGTATAAGCTGCTGAAATTATATCCTTGATACAGAAATTCATCTATTGGGAAATAATAGCTCCATTCAGTGTTTAACAAGATCGACATGCTGGATGTTTCCTTTAGCACAGTGTAATAAAGGTCTCCTGTTCTACAGAGATGCAAGGTGAAAGGTTGATAGTGTAAGACATTCAGTTTTGCGAACTGTAAACATAAAAATTACCAATTATTCCAGGGGATATCGCATTTGGGTATGTAGCCTACAGTTTGTGTGTAGTCTGGTGTGTGGGGACTGTAAAAGCTAAATGTGCTGACCTCAGCAAATACCAAGCAGCATGTTCATCCTTTGTGGTGGCTACATAGGAAGGAAAAAAACTTGATATTAGATCTTTGCTCGTATCAAACTCGTCATCCTCACTCACCTTTGGCGGCATGGTCTTTATCCTCTTTGCTTTTCGTTTTTCCGCTCATGGAGCTCCGCTGCTGCTGCTGCTGCTGGTGGTTGAATCAAAGTTTAGGAAAGAGATGACGGACCGTGGTTCTACTTTTTCATCCTCTTTCAAGGTTTGTTTTCTTCCCCCTTCACACGGCAGTCCTCACACTCCTGCTCGCCGTCCCTTCCTCTGTCCAGTCCCTCTCTGCCTCCTTTTCCTCAGCCTGTCCCTGTATGAGAGCCCGTTGTGCCTCAACATGCCACTATGAGCAGGATCGCTCTTAAATGTGCACGCGCAGAAACTCCTCCCGCACGCGCATACTGAAAGACAAAGAATGATTGCACTTATATGTATCACACAAAGAAATAAACAAGAACAAAAACCTTAAGCTTATAACTCTTTCTATCTAGTGTGGCTGTGGAAAATTTCCCGTCTGCATGACACATTTGTTCTTTTAAGAGTTATCCCTAGTCCTACAGTAGCATCATTTTATGAACAACATCAGATTTACAATACTGTTGTAATTCAGTTTATTATGATCTTCAAGTACCAGTGTTAAGATCATAGTTTATTTATATTGACTTTAAACTGAGTCAAAGCTTATTGAAAAATGAGACAATAACAACTCTTTATTAATAATTATAAGCCATGTGAACTTGTCTTACTATGAGTTGATTGATTATGAGAAAGTAAAAAAGCTCACAACGCTTTATTTTGACAGTTTTATAATGGAAGTGGTGGCTTTGAAAAACGTAAACATGACACCTCCATGTCCAGTAAAAGGTAGCAGGTCATTGAAAGAGATTTAAATAAGTTTCTTGCAAGCTGCACAGTCTGCAGAATAAATATTAAGACTTCCAATAATCCTACCTCTGTTAGGTAGAATATATGTGGTTAAACACATTCTGTTTTGATGGATCCTCTACTGAAAAATTAAAAGAGCCAGCTGTTTCCATATTGTAATACCATTAAAGGAGCAATATGTAACTCTGACACTGATTGTTTAAAATTGGTACTGCAGTCCAAATTCAAAACAGTGGAGAGAGCTGTCTCTACCCACCCCCTCCTCCCTAGAGCCGATGCACACTCCGGTTGCCATGTTGCCGATATGAAAGCTTCAGTGTTTAGCTGAAACCTTTCTGTGTTCTGACCTTTCTCCATTTTGCCACGTTTCTGGCTTTGGAGCTTATTAGAAAAATGCAGAGTCTTTTCAGGCCGAGTAGAATCACTTGTATCAGAACCAGTTTGCTTGCCTGCTTTTGTAGCTGCATCACCTGTTGGTTTTCTGTTTGCCTGTTAGCATGTTTCCTAAATGTCTGATGGTATAGTAAGGTCATCTTATGATTTAATGTATGTAGTAGATATCTTCCATACTTCTCCTTTAATGTTGTGCTTGTTGACTGCTTATGGCGTATCTATAAAGCATCTGTTAATAAATGAATATATTCATATAAGATATGAATTAATACATAGACAAATTAATCTAAAAACAAGAACTGCTGGGTAACCATAGTAAGTCACACATCTAGCTCTTACCGACTAGAAGAAGGTCATCACACTCAGGAGGTTGTCTTATCCGATATATGCACATCACGTTGCAGACTCAGCAGTCTGACACTATGCAAATGAGTCACTTTATTGATCATTGAATCAATTGATGCTGTAAAACGGCTTTTTTTTTTTTTACTGAGGCAGAAGTAGGATACACACATGTAATATTTCATCTTGTGACAGTTTGCCTGTACAAATGTTGCTTCCAGTCTATCCTTGTGTAACAGATTCTCTCAGATTCAGACAACACTATTAATCATAGAAGGGCAATTCAGTTTCACAGCCTACCGAGTCATTGAAAGAAGAAGACAGTATAATGGAAACAAACCATATATAAGTCCATTTCAACATTCATATAAGAAAGCCTCGTGCTCATAATGGATGAAGTGTGTTTTGCTTGAGATTAAAATGTGATTACACATTGCCTTTTTTTTGTCTTAGTCAGTCATCATATTTTCATGCAATAAGGCTTAGAATGTTTTTGAAGTAGACGGTTACAACTTAAATATCTTGCAGGAAAATAAATCATATTATTCAACTCAGTTCATGAGACCAATCCATGACAAAAATGTTATTACTCTTGTGTTCTTTTAAGCGTCTGCTTTTTGTCAGACTCTAGATTTCATTAACAATGTTTTTTTCTCTTCTCCTCTCTTCTGCCCGCAGCTCCCCTCAGTTCAAATCCATTCATTGACACCGTCGTCCAGGCTGGAAGGTTAACGCCATGTCGTCAGCACTCAGTGGGAAGAAGTCTGATCAGAAATATGTTTCTTCCCTCTGTTAATCTACATCATGTGTACATTATATATATGCTACATGGCACAACCAGACTGTCAATAATTCACCAATAGGGGACATTTTTATACAAACTTTTTCAGTAGTGTTTTAAGTTGCATAAATGTCTCAAATCAAGAAAATACCATTGTAATGTATTACTGCAAACAGAGCGTAAGTATAAAGTGTTTTCTAACAGACAGGCGCCATGTGTTATGTTTTTTCTCTCTGGATGTTACATATATTCTGATAAGCTATATCTTTACAAACGTACCCCGTCTTGTGCTGCTCATACCCGTTACACTACCTTTTCATTTACACTAAGTGTTTTTTACCAATTAGATAAAGAAATAACGATGAATTAAAAGAAGCATATTCATATCTTCTGCACACTGGGATAATGTGTACTTTCTAACAATTTGAATGAGAGAGCAGCAACATGTAAGCGCTGTCATAAACATGTCAAATATAAAGCATTTAACATATAACATAGGAAACATTGTCATTGCATTGAATTAAAACATTTTTTTTCTAAATTAGTCAAAATAAAATCACTTTTAAAAAAGCAACCTACAATAACTTCCTTATAATAAGAGCAAGAAGTTTGCAAATACAAAGGTGGAGGGGGGACCCAGGCTATGAAAATGAAATCCAGCTCCTCGCTGACTCCTGCTTGTGCCACAAAGTTAGGTCTACACAGAAAGCCTGAAAAAATAGGTGACATTGTTACAATCTCCTGGGATTACTGGGGATTTTAATAGAAGCATATGCATTAAAGAAGTATTTTGCAAAAGGTGAAATTATGACAGATTTGAATTTGAAGACTGGTGTCACCAAACTAACCCTTCAGAGTTATGTTCGTTATAACACTCTTCCTAAATCTTGTGTCCTCCCTTAATTTGTCTTTAAGAAAGGTTTATCTGACTCTTGTGTAACAGGTCTGTGATGTCAAGTTGTGGTGGCTTTTTTGACTCCAGCTATGAGCCAGCACAGAAAATCCCAGCTGCTCTCTGAGCGAGCTCGCCTGGAGGATTACTAATCTGAGATCAACTGCTCTGTTAGAAGAAAAAGTGACACATATGACATTCGACATACAAAACCCCTGTTCTTAATCAAGCCAAACATGTCGACATTTTTTTTTTATGTAGTGATTAAATACAAATGTGAACCTTTCATCTTTTATTGACCTCCTTGGTGTAACAGGTGTTTGGGGTTAATTAAATCAGAGTCAGATAATTGCAGATAACGTGTTGGCATAGAGGTGTTTAATAGAAAGTAGAAAAGCCAGAACACTCAATGTCCTTTAACATCTTTTAATCTGGGTAGAGCAGCAGCATACATACAGTGAGTATGCAGCCAGTATGCAGAAATGTCCCTTATACACTACACAGGAAGTAGGATGTATTTTTCAACAGATCTTTTGCACAAGAGTTTTTTTATTTCACAAAAGGGGCCGCTCAGTCCAATAGCAAAAATAAACCATGCAATATCAATACACAAATATAATAAATATGTACACAGTAAAACGTACAGAAAAATATAGAACAAAAACTAGGTACAAGAGAAAACCCGGACATAATGATTGTAATGTGTATGAAGTGGGACACTTGGATGCTCTGTAAGCTATATTTAAAGTGGAGACTCGGATAGAGGGGTTTAATCAATCTGTTTCTAAAATGTATTATGCCACTGGTGAAAACATTTTAATGTTTTCCTATGTTTAAAATAACGTGAGTCTAGCTGAATAAAACTTAAAATGACTTCTCACTATAGGGAATATAGTTTAGAAAAGCCTGTATCAATACCGATGTATATAATTCACAAGCTATTTTTTCCTCTGCTCTGTGAAGTTGTCTCAGGTCAACATAAACAGTGCTGCAGTTACAGGAATAGCAGAGACGTTGACCCCATGACTCACTCAATGGCAGTTAAACAGCAGTATGTTTATACTGGGAAGAGAGATGACATTTCTGTATTGATTGGTGACAGTGTGTCATGAAAAAGAGGTCAGTGACTCAGTGCAAGCCTGCATACAGAGCCCAGGGTCTTCATTGTCATATCCCTGTCCTCAGCTGCTCCTTAAAGGGATGCCTTTCCTCTGGAGTTACTCTGGGCATGTCCACCTGATGGGAGACCCCAGGGTAGAACTTGCTGAAGGGGATCATCTCAAGGTGCCCCAGGAAGAGCTGGAAAACGATGTTGAAGAGAGGAAGGTATAAACTAACCGGCTTTGGAAGAAGACGAATGGATTTCTTTATAAATATCTATACAAATTAGACAGTAGTCAATGCTCCTGACCTACCTCCTAAAGCAGAATGAATCAGATCCTCTATATGTTCAATGGTACTTCAAAGTCAAAAGATGATTTTAAAACACTGTCAGGCACTGGTTTATCTCTTTAGTTGGTTAAGCGTTCACCCTATGTGCAGATGCCAAGTTCTTGTCTGCAGCTTTCAGCCTTTCTGTGCATGTCAACGCCGCTCTCTCTTTGCCATATTTCCTTTTTAACTCCAGCTGTAATGACGTTTTGTCATTTAAACAAAAAATCATAATAAAAGCTATTAAATATCTATCTGTAAATGCATCTCTCAATATGTGAACATAGTGACAAAATAAGTCACATTTGGTTGTCAAATGGAAATTGGACAAAGTGCTTTGATGCCTGTTTGTGGTTCAAATCTTTATCCATCAAACATTTTCAGTCTGTTTTCCATAAATGAAATCACATTATATGAACAATGATGTGAACAACTTGCAGACAAAGAAACAAGATTCATCCTACTGATACATCGTTCAGACTAAATGCTGTACACTGGGGATTTTTCTTCCTTTACTCAATTTTACAGCGGAAGAGACATTGGAAATATGGGAAGGAGAGGAAATACGGGAACTAGGCATCTCAGGTCCGAGTGGAAAGAAGTCCAAGTGGAAACAAGTCCTCGAGTACGTTGCCTCTGGGTAGGGAGTGGCAGCTCTACTGACTGCACTTAAACAGCACCCTTGTAGTCTCCTCTGCCTTTCTCTGTGCATTTACACTATTGCCCTCCTCCTCCAATGCTGAGCAGAACTGAGCTTTGGACAATAATCAACTGGGATTGTAACAGTTACAACAACATATAAACATTTAGCAGTAGAATATCAAGTTTGCAGAGGGGGTTGAGCAGAATGGCCGGCAAAAGTTGCACTAAAAAGAGAGCCGCAACCCCGCCTGCATCAACCTATTTAAATCATCCTCAGCCAATAAGTCATCACAAGGCCGTTGTTGCCAAGGCGCTGCTGGCTCAAGGCCAGCTGAGCTGGCTGTCAGTCACGGTGATTTGTTAGCAGCCACACCCTGTGTAACTCACAGAGTAATCCAACAGCCTTCAATACTTGAGATCTAGCTCAGAGTTTGGGTGTCCTACACATGACTGTGTAAACTGCAGCACCAGCTGAGGCATTTTAATTATGCCTCAGTCTCTTCTGATGCATCTAAATGGCTTTAAGCTGATTTAGCCGGATTTACAGCAGCACTTGTTCAATCAAATGGAGATCTGGACACATTAGTTTGTGTGTGTGTGTGTTTGTTGCATGACTATTCTGATGAGGTATTTCAGCTTTTTTTAAATATAAAGTTAAGAATCTTAGGCTTCTTTAAAGCTGCAAAGTGTAATGTTTAAGGTGAATATTGATTCTCTCGAATATATTAGTTTGAAAGTGTGTGTGTGTGTTTGCGTGTGCGGTTCTGTGTGTACGTGCTGATGAGTTTCAAACTGTCATGCAAGCTATGATGAAAAAGCTGCTTAGATAACAAGACTCATGATGGCAAACAACACGATTAACAGCTGGTCACGTCGGCACACACACACACACACACACACACACACACACACACACACACACACACACACACACACACACACACACACACACACACAAAATAATATCCAGAATGGCCCTTACTCATCAACTGTCAATATTTGCTTTTGCTCAATTTCAGTCCCACACGACTGAATAAAATCATCTTCATTTCAAACTTTGTCAGTCTGTGCGTCGCTCTGATTTCTCTGAAACGCATTTTAAAAATCTTTCTCACACTTTTTACTCACTCTGTCTCTTTCTCTCTTGAACAAACACACAATTCTGAACAAACACACATACACATACTCTGCCTCCCAGGTGGGTAAACAGTCTGTTGCTGTACTTTGGAGTGGTGGATTTGTCTCTCTAGAACAGGAGTTCAAGCAGACTGACCGCTGACAACGACAAGATGGCTGGAATTTGTTTACTGGTTTTCATTGCTGGTTTACTGCTGGAGGTGAATGGACATCCTGCTAAATCTTCCCAGGAAAACACAGGTAAACGACACAGGGGTAGGACGGAGTTCAGGAAGCAAGCCAGATGTCAGAACCTTGAAAATATAGGAAGAAGACGCTCGGGATCAGTCTGCTGAACAACAAATCATTTTAAGAGGCCTGATCTGTGACCCCAAGTCTTAAAGCGAGAACACTCGAAAAACCTGTATAAGAATATTAAAACACTCATCTGCAGTTAAAAAGTTTGAAAATGATGTTTGATCTGAATATGAAGTTGTAATGACTTATAATAGATGTTTGTGGGTAACGTATTGCCCATGGGATCCAAAAGCAGCATGCTATTCTAATGACTGTCACTGAATTCCTCATTGAAAAAAGAAACTATACACGTTTACATCATCATTTTAGGTCTAGAAAAGGCTGGTGTTTGACACTCAACTGAGGAGTATAAAGGAAGACTTTACAATACAGCAGATGTGATGCTACTCAAGCTAGACATGACGATTGATTTAGTTGTAGTGATTCCTGTTAATATGTCTAAAAATGTATTTGGATTAAAGTTTAAGTCCAAGTTAAAATCAGTAGATTTAAACCTTGTGTTCACTTACGTTCTATCTTCATTAGGCTCCAGCTGTGTGTTGGATTTTGTCTGAGTTTGGGCTGAATTTGCTCAAATTTCAAAATCCCTAAAACAGTTTACAGAACAGATTCAGTGCAGCTGCTGGAGCACTGTTTCAGAGCTTTTTCAGTAATGTGTTTGTCTTCTGTTGTTTTTTTTTAGGAGCTGTGTTTTTGTCACAGCAGGTGGCCAATGCTGTGCTGATTCGCACGCGCAGGTACAACAGCGGCCATCTTGAAGAAGTGTTATCCAAAGATAACCTGGAGCGGGAGTGTAAGGAGGAAATGTGCACAATGGAGGAGGCCAGGGAGGTGTTCGAGAATGATGAGAAAACTGTAAGTTGCACACATAATTCATTCTTGCAGTATTAGAGTGTTTACTGGCAGATATCTGAGGTTTCTCTTCACATCATGTTTCTCTCAGATGGAGTTCTGGAATGCCTACATTGGTGAGAAAAATGGGGAAGAAATACACACAACTGCTTTGAATGTAAAACAGAGGATCATGTAAACCTGGTTATGTATTTTACATACTTGTGTGTAGATGGTGACCACTGTAAGCCACCCCCATGCCAAAATGGAGCCGAGTGTGAGGATGGAATCGGTGCATATACTTGCTGGTGCAAACCAAACTTCAGTGGCAAGAACTGTGAGATAGGTGAGTGTGTGTGAAGCTGGATGGAAAAAAATAATACAAACATTGATCTTGACCACCTGTTTAGTTATTATTTCAATTCAGTTTGTTTGAGTGCAAAGATTTCTAAGTGATTGATTTGGCTCTCCCACTTGTTTACAGAGGTGACCAAACAATGTGAGGTGAACAACGGTGATTGTGCTCATTTCTGTGTGATGCAGGAGGAGCGACCTGTGTGTCAGTGTGCAGCTGGTTACATGCTCGGGGATGACAAGAGGAGCTGTACACCAACAGGTAGAATCAAATGATGAACAAATTTAATGTAAACATGCTGTGGACCAATTTGAAAACTACTAATATATTTCAGGACCTATATATCCATATCTTTCAACACACATGTTTGATAAAAAACTTGAGATTTTAAAAGACTTATCTATTTTCTTTTTTTGTATTTCAAAAACAGAACAATTTAAGGTTAAAGTCGAACTACAGCAGCACAGTGAAAATTATCAATCAACACACAAGGAGTTTGAATCTCTCCTTTACACGTCGATTTGATTCGATTTGATCCAATTCTCTAGAGCTATGATTCAGGGACGTTTTGTACAAATCAATTCAATACAAATTGAAAATTGAATCTAAATAGATTTTTTTTACTTCATTCAATGTAGTAAAAATAAAAATTCTAAAACGTGGGTTTAAAAAACAAAATGAACAGACCTGCTTCGAACCCTCAGCCTAAACATACCAACGTATGACCCATAAGGCCCATACTGATAAATCTATCAACACAATATCTTTCTTCTTTTTCAAATCTATATTTTTTCAATTGCCAAAATGTAAAAAGTTTATGGTTTGCTCACGATTCAGCTTACGATGCAGTAAATACTAAAATAAGAGGATTCAAATAGCCATTCTTTAATTCTAAATATGAGATCAAATCACATCACTTTTTGTTGTTTCCATATCTTGTGATAAGGCTATAAGAAAACCATTCCATGTGTGCGAAAATCTGCATGATGTCTTAGAGGCAAAACATGAACATCTCCCTCTTTGTTTTGCCTTTAATCCCTCTCAGAACCATTCAGCTGTGGTCGTACGGACTCGTCCTCCCCATTTGTCCCCAGGTCCGCCCTAACGCCACGGTCATCTCACCAAACGAACAGCACAGAGAGACACAACAACAGCGACACCTTGCTCGATGAGGACTTGAGCGACTTTATAGACCATATGTATGATTACTATGACTTGCTTTTGAATGATTCACACCCATCCAACATCACTGAAGTATTTAAACGCTCAGTGAGGTCAGCCTCCTCTGTGAATCCAGGAGAGGTTGTTGTGAATGGAACAGAAGGGAGCACTGTCGCTGAAAAGCAGCTGCCTTCCTGGGCTTTCTTTCCTACACTCCCCAGCATCACAGCAGAGGAGAACAACGACCAGAGGATTGTGGGAGGAGACGAAGCTCGACCTGGAGAGATACCATGGCAGGTAATGCAGTGCAGAGAATGTGATGAGTTGAAGATATTCTTCTTTTGTTCAATGAGAAATGGTGAAAATGCTGTTTACAGATGTGTTGTTTGTACTATTACTTTCATTGGCCCTCACAATTTCAGTTAACCCCCAAAAATGGGGTTTTTAAAATTTGGGCATTACTTTTAACATGAACAAGCCTTCTATGTGAGATGCCGCTATAATGTCAGACAGGTTGAGTTCTAGGTTGTAAGTGGTCTAATGCCAGAATGAATCATTAATTATTCAAACTGACCAGCAACTAAAATACAATAAACCGTGAAAACCTGAGGGACATTAAGCCATATTCATATAACCATATTTTAGTTCAAACAACAAATATAAACCAATTACCCATTTTCAGACAAAGGCTAATGTTAGCATTCAGCCACTTTCTAGCTAGAAGTCACTTTGTGCTGTTGCTAAGAAGTGGCTGAATGCTAAATTTAACTTAACTTTTCAAAACAACATATTAGATAAACTATTAGCTTTCATCGGACAACAGCTAATTGTAGCATTTAACCACTTCCTCGCTTACATTAATGTTAGCAAATTAGGACTTTCCTATCATACACTTAAAGAGGACATGTTATTCCCCTTTCCCACATTTTCAAACATTCCCCTGTGGTCTAAATGAAACATCTGTGCTGTGCTTTGGTCGAAATATAACATGAATCAAGCACCAGAGGAGGTTTGTGACCCTGTATAAACCAGGCTATATCAGAGAGAAATGGCTGATGTGTGAGTAAGGTGAATGACGTTACTTCCTGTGACGATGAGGCAGCATGTGCAGAAAACCATAAAACAAACATCCAGCAAAAGGTTCCTTTTTTTCCCACTTTGTGCTTACGCAAGTGTTTGTGTTTACAGGTGACACTGATGTCTCAGTCACCTTCCCTTGGTAGAGCACAGCCTTTCTGTGGAGGATCTCTGCTCAGTGAACTGTGGGTCATCACTGCTGCTCATTGTCTGGTACAAGCTGATATCGCTAAACGACACTTCTTTGTTAGAGTGGGTATGTAAAACAAATGTCCTCTAAATCTCTCATCTATTTCTCTCTCTTGTTCGTTTTTTTGAGCTCCCCAAAGCGTACCATTGATCAGCTTGTGTTGTTTAACCATACCAAGATGAAAAATATTGTGCAAACATTTATTAATAATGAAGTTTAGAAATGTGAGTGTGCGTGAATGCACCATTGAAGAGGCTCCCTGCCTGCCACAACAGCATGCATGTCGAAAAACAAAACAAGTCAACAGAATTTTTACTTAATATTTATTTTAGGGCTTATGATGAAATAGTAGAATGAAAGAGAAACAAAGAAGCTATATCGATAGCAGTGATGAGATTAAATCTGTGAAATTTCAATTTTAAATGCAACACATTGTGTATCCATCCATCTTTGCTTCTAGGAGAATATGATGTGAGCAAAGATGAGGGTCCAGAGCGAGACCATTTGGTGGCACAGCGGCATATCCATCGCCACTACAGGTTCGAGCTGTCTCCTTATAACCATGATATCGCACTGCTGAAGCTTGCTACTCCTGTTGAGCTGTCCAGCCATCGACGTCCCATCTGCCTGGGCCCCAAAGACTTCACAGAGAACTTACTGAGGGATTCCCACACCTCTCTGGTGAGTGGCTGGGGAAGGATACAGTTCCTGGGCATTGAGGCCACCAAGCTTCGGAAGCTAGAGGTTCCCTATGTGGAGCGCACAGTCTGTAAACAGAGCAGCCGCGACCACGTCACCGCTTGATGTTCTGCGCTGGCTACCAAAGTGAAAAGAAGGATGCATGCCAGGGGGACAGTGGGGGGCCGCATGCTACCAAATACAAAGGCACTTGGTTCCTGACGGGCATCGTCAGCTGGGGGGAAGAGTGTGCAATGGATGGGAAGTACGGCATCTACACTCGAGTGTCACGGTACTACACGTGGATAAGTGGCATAACAGGGATTCGTATTAACAATTAACAAAGAGAGTCAGAGTCCACTACAAAGATAAAACAGCTGTCAGCCAAAAGCTTCAGTTTCACAATTTGTCTTTAGCCTGAGGATGTTTGTCTGAACTAAATCAGGGGTGATAACCCTCATTTTAATTTTCAGCATTCAATAAAGTGTAACTTTCTATCTGAGTATTTGTTTCTTTATTGAAACTTAGCTTACACTGTGTAGCTTCTCTTTTGTCTTAAAATTAAAATAATGTAATTTTGAGTAGAAATATGGTTTGAAAGCATATTTTCGAGCATAATAATTTGTGGTCTAATAAAATGGACTTCTCCAATAAAAATGGTCCTCACCAAAAGAATAAAGTTAATTCACAGATAATGACAGAGAAAACCCACAGGTGTTCTCAGTGCACCTCATATAACCAACTCATGTTAAGTATCTAATGGTTTTTATTTAATGTAGAATCGACAATATAATCAAGTCATCTTTAACACCTTGTGACTGTGGATTACACAACACGAGGAGACTATTTTAGTCCCTGTAAAGTGTGTTTTTAACACCTCAACAAAATTGTATTTTGTAGTTACAGACAATATCACATAGTGGTGGTAGCTACAGTACTGTACTTGTGCTCTATGGGAGCTTTAAAATCTAAAGAGTTTTTCAAGCTTTCCTACAAAATGTTCTAAATTAAAACTTTTTTAAGGGTTAAAGGTTTCTCCTCACTGTAAAATTAGAGTGCTTTTATATTCAAACTTATACAAAATGCTATACTTTTTCTAATTACAGAGTAAGGCTTTAAACAGCAACGGGGAAATCAGGAGCGATTTGGTAGAAGTCTTCATGAAATATATCATGTGACATGTAATCAATTTTGATTATCAAATGAAGGAATAATAAAGATCTGCCTCGATATCGAGCATGCTGAAAGCCTGGTACTTTGTGCATCTTGGGTTTATTAAGATCCTTATAGTATTCTAGTCAAGACCACACTAACCAAGCCCAAGACATGCACGAGACCAGAGTGCTCCGAAACCGAGACAAGACCAAGACATTTAGGGATCGAGACTGAATTAAGACCAAGACCATAAATAACTATGAAAAAATTCTCATCTTGGGTGCAGCAGGAATGTCACTCACTTGCTGCCGTAACTGGTGGAAAAAAAATCTAATTATGAATGAATTGAATATATTCTTCCTTTTAGAAAGGGGCGTTTTTCTTCTAATCACAATAATGACAATGGAAAAATAGCCGATCAGGGGTGGTCTTGATTTAAAATCCGCAGTCTACCGAGTCTGAGACCGAGACAAGACAGAGTAAAAAATGCTTTAGATTCCAAGATGAGACCAAGCCCTTAAAAGAGTGGTCTTGAGACCAAGACTGATTTCCAGTATGACAACACTAGATCCTGAAGCGAATGAAAAACAAATCAAACTGAATTTTGAAGAGAAAAGATCACACCAGTCAGGTTGAGTCAAATTGAATAATACTGTGCTTATATTTAGAAAATAATCATGTACTTTATGCATTATTATACAAGCTTTCACAATGGTTCAAAATATAAAAAAAGTGCAAAATGAGCAAAGTAGCAAACACCAGTTTAAGGTACTGTGGAAAATACAGATTGTAGCCTGACTGAACACATCTAATGATTACTTTTGTTATGTAACAGTTTAGACAGTGTAGGGTGGAATACAAATACAATGTACATTAATTCATCTTTGTTCTTTAAGAGTTGTACTGGATGGACCTTATTTGGACAGAGGTACACTCACTATCAAGTGAATAATGTTTCCATTGTATGAAGTAGGGAAATATTATCTGAGGATATCCAGAGTTAATCTTAGCTTATGTCTCACCACTGTTGATTTATAGCATACAAAGATACAGCTAATACTATAGGGATCTATTCCATCACTTGATAGCAGTGTGTAAATTTCTAACTGTCCAAACTAGTTTTACCATTTAATCAACTATTGTTTAGTGTAAAATTCAAATGTACATTTTCACAGTTAACTGCAGCTGCCTTCTCAAGCTTTTGGTAACTTTACACCGTCTGCTCCAAAGAGATAAACCTCAGTAAACATGGCGGTAAAGTGGCAGTGTGACATAACCACTTCTTGCTCTTTGTTTCAAAGATGCCTCAACAGTCAACGAAAACCAGTCTGGGCAGTTTTAAAAACCAGGCAGTTTAGAATGAATTAAAAGTTTCCATGAATGTCTTTCCTCATTAATCGAGTATTCTGAATTTAAAATAAACATTTCAGGAATCAACACTGTAACTGTAATACTTTGGCGCTACACTACTCTATTTACAGTTACAACCAAACACTGGGCAAAGTTTCCCTGTTGGTGTTATACAGCAGAAAAGCAGCGGTACAGGAAGACAATGCAATAGAAATATGCAGTGATTTGTCCATGCAGAGAAGCAAACAAACAGAAATGTAAAGCTTGTTTGATCTCAGTGTTAACAGTGGTCATAACGGCTGTGTGATAGAAGAGTTTTAGAATTACCACCAATAAAATAAACAATTATGTCAACAAAAATAAGCGCATATTGCAATCAGCAAAAACAACAAATAGGCAAAAGAACCCACTGAGATATATCTGAACAAACGCTGAGTCGTGACAACCACCTGCAGTTACCGCAAATGTAGAAGTCATGTGTTGTTTGTACTGTGTGAATTCTGCAGTGTCTGTCCCATAGAGTTCACCCTTGACCAGGAGCGCTGCATCAACACACTTTATTTCACAGGAAACATGTTCAATTGTTATTGCAGGAAAAACACAAAAGGGACTATAAATGTTTCTGATGGCCCTGCTCAAATTCGCTTTGTCACAAGACAAACAAAAAGGCCAACTAGATTGCAGCCACATTCATAAGTACTTCTGTGCTTTTCCTGCAATGATATAATGAAAAAATGAAATCATCACATGAAAAGATCTATAGAGGGTTCACATTGATATTTTCATGTATACATCTTTAACCACCACACCCAAAGTGACAAAACAAAGTGCAGAGGCTGTAAGGAATGACGAGACCTGTAATATCTTCACTCACGCAATAGCAAGTGTGCGTATTACACGTCCCTTAGTATACTACAAAGTACAAACTTTGCACACAATATGCATAAATGGAAAAAAAGATTTGTCATTTGCAATCTCTGAAATCCTTGCTTGTACATCTATGTTGGTCCTTAGAGCAACATTTCAATATTGTTGTACCTTATCATTTAAAAAAGCAAACTGGCATTAATAAAATTTTTTTTTTAACTCTCACATAATAGTATGCAGGTAATGGTTTTAGAATGCCTTCCTTGGCTCGCTTCATTCCATCATTATCACCACCTGACAGTTTCTGAGTTTTTGTTTTTGCCACTAAAAGATAAAGGAACCAATTTTGGTTCCCTGCAACATCACATGCACACCCTCTAAAGCTGTAGCTGGTTGATCAAACATGTAAAGCTTATTACATGTAGAGCTGTTTGGCACATGTACAGTGATGATATGTTAGAAAGCATAGACACAAGTCCTGTGATTTTTTTATAAGAAAGTAGAAATGATAAGAGTGATAAACAAGTCATTTTTATGTTTGGATGATGTCCCCTGTTCAATGCGTTTTGCCATTTTCAACCATATTCCCTTGAAGTAAGCATGAAATGACAGAAAACGTAAAATTAGGCTTTGGTTGTTGTGAGGTCCCACATGTGTGCTTTGTATTGTTACATTCTTATCTGAGGTCCGCTCTGTAGTGTACAGCTTTCTGAGGTGAAAGAGTCACAGTCCATTGAGGACAAAAATATATGATGGATGTGCTTCAATATGATGGTCGGATGAAAGTCTCAGCAAAGTCAAATGCCATTTGACTTCTGAAGTTGATGGAGTGATTGTCTGTGTGGTTGTTAGTGTGTGTCTGTTTGTGTGTGTGTGTGTTTGTTTAAACAGGTCTATAAAGAAACAGTGAGCCCTGTAAGCAATCTTAACAGGAGGAATCACACAGGCTTTATCTATCCAATTGGCTCTCAGCAGGTCTCTCCCAGAATCCGGTGCAAGTCCTCAGGTAGAACACGCCCTTCTTCACCACGACTTAAATTCCTCACCATCCTGTGATAACACACACACACACACACACACACACAAACACACACACACAAAACACACGCACACACAAAACAAATTAAAATTTTCATTTATAGTGGTCTGGTATTAAAATTTCTGAAACAAGTTGTCTATTTTACCACATTCCCGACACTTCCTCATGAAGCAGCTGGATGACATCACCAGAGTTGAAGATGATGTCATCGGTGCTGGCCATGCTGCTCTCCACCATGACCCTGTACCTGCCCGCCACCTGTAGATCGGTAGAAAAGACAAGACAAGTAGACTCAGGTGAACAGTTCATTTTTAAATTTTTCCGTTCAAGCAGAAAGAAAAACAGACAAGGAAGAAGGAAATGAAAGGCCGTACCTTCATGTTAGGCTCAGTGTTTGCACATTCAGAAGGGACATTACAATATCTTTAACAGATCTAGCTTTGTCATGACAGTTAGAAAATCTCACAAGAGGTGAAGGTTGATCCTCTTCATCTGAGTCGGATATGTTGGAGAGGTCTGTTGCACCCCAGTCCTCCAGGCCATCACAGATTGCCACTGAGTGTGCAGGAACAGGCCAAGCTGCGGGCGACAAGACTGCTGAGACAACTATGAACCATAACTTTCACTCTTTACTGCAATCTCCTTTCCCTATATATGTTTCCACTGTCGGAAAGAAGAAGTATTTCACAGTTCATTCAAGCCTTCAAGATAAAGTACTATTCCTTTATATTATGTTAATTATCCCATTAAAATAAACCTTTACATTTTTAGGCCAATTGATCAAAACAAGCCAATGAAATTAAAGTGTTAAGAAGAGGAAATAAAAAAGATTTCCTTAAAAATGTGATGCTACAAAAATGTGGGAAATAATTATCCTTAAGACAAATCAGTGACTCACTGCGTCGAGGTGAGTGAACCACAGGGTCCGAGTGGGCGGGGCTAGTGTGTACTGACTCCTCCCCTCTGTGTTTGTAGGAGTGGGTTGTTGCTGAGGAGCTGTGAGGAACAGGGAGACACGCTGAGCAGCCTCCCACCGATGCTCCGCCCCATGACACACATATCTCTGATGCACTTAACCCATCACCATGGGA